CAAGCTCTCCCAAAATTACTGGAAAGAAAAATGTGCCCCAAGATTTTGATGAAAACCGAGTCAAGCGAAGGCTGCCTGGTCAACCGCACCTTTTCTGCGGTGCATATGGAAGCTCCTCAATCTACGCCCTCGTGCGCGAGTACACTGTGAGAGTGCATAGCGAAATACATCCACGATGCCTCCGTCAACAATCACGGGGAATCCTTAGTCTTCTAGCAAAGCTTTCATAGGAAAAAACACTATGACCTACTGATGTCCAGTTTAGCCCAATATCTTCGACAATTTCTTGAAGAGTCCGGTCGTGTGCGACAAAATGCGGAATGAGCAAAAAGCAACTAGGACACACAGCGCGCGAAAGTATTTTGCTTTGAATTCCTGCATCTGTTCGGCCACCTGGCTTGACTGCGGTAGATGCAGAAAATGATTAACATGCTCAACTGTTGCATAACAGGGCCAAATTATGGGTAATTGCGAAGCCAATACCAAAACAACCTGCCTATGACGCCTGTTGTGTGCGCCGCTACCTTGAAACCGGTGATCACGCTGAGCTAAAGCTCTGTCCATAACTTCCTGTAAATTGCCGCAATGCAAGCAACGCAAAGTGCCCAATGTTGCGAGCGTACGCATTATTTTTGCGTTCTGCGAATGCGCACTCCAGTCCCGACTGAGCCGCAATTCAGATTTTTTCTCAAAGTCACGGGATCCTACCAAAACATTCGTAGAGAACTCGCGGCTCGCTACACCGTTGGTAGATCTCACCAGGAAGGGATCCTCGCAGAATTGCAGCGCGAGGATCTGGTAGCGCAGAGCATCAAAGAGCCATTTCTCGGGGAACCTGGACGTCAGCGCACAACTTGTGCAGCGGCGAGGACCCAAAAAACACCTGTTCGCTCGGTGGAAGTGTGTTTCGGCGTATCGCCGTAGCGAGGCGCCAGTCACGTGGCTCTCCTTTCATCCCTTGTCTGCCGTTCCACCTTTTCCTTTTCGGCGGCCGCTTCTCGAGGCGATCTGCCAGGCTTTGTTAGTATATAGAAGCTTATAACTCGACCTTATGTGGTGCCATTCCGCTCGTGCGCCAGCTTCGGCAGGGCTTTGTTTTTATGCAGCTTAGTTTCACAGTCTTAGTTGGGACGTTTACACTTGCAAGCCGGGCCTGCAGTTTTTTATGCGCTGATTTATTTTTATTTGTTTAGTATTCCCAATTGCGGTTGAACCGCGTTCGCAGGACGGTTGCGAACGTGGTTCCTTATACACCGTTCCAATATTTGGAAGTCCTCAGCCCAACACGCGCATGTTTGTTGCTTTGGAAGGCGAGCAAATCACGCGCCATACGCACTAACACTGAAAACGCTTTGACCCTTATTACTACTTCAAAGTGCAGAAACGTCTCACAAAACGGGCGCTCACTCGATTACAGACACACAAAAAAAAAACATATACACAGCGCTGAACTCACAACTCTGCATTTTGTCTTCGTGTTCTACATATTGTTAAAACAAAATCTGTAAATTGTTTTGCCTTTGTTTTTTCTCCACTTATTAAAACCAATTCGTAAAATCTTCCGCGATTATCTTCTCAAGATGAGGTAAGCTAATTCTTTTGCAGATAAGGTGAGAGATGGATTGCTCACGCATCCATCGTCAAGATAATCGCGGACTATTTTACGAATTGGTTTTAAGAGGCAGGGAAAAAACAGGTCGAAACAATTTACAGCTTTTTTTAACAACACGTAGACGAAAACGAAGACAAAATGCAAAGAGTTGTGAGTTCAGCGCGGTGTGTATGTTTTTGTGTCTATAATCGAGCGAGTGCCTGTTTTGTGACACGTTTATCCTCTATGAACAGTGCAGTACACGTTCCTAAAAAAAAAAGAACAAACGATTGTTCCTCGTTCCTTCTGATTTTTGGAACGCGTTCCCGTTACATGTTTCATATGTGAAAAAGAAACTCGTTCCCGTTACGGTTAAACAAATGGAACGTATCACTACATATAAGCTATATTTGTATTTTGCTGTTTACCATATCTATAGTTACATCGAGGAAACGTTTCCCTTTTTTTATTTATCCCATCAAATGGGAACATACTAATTTTAATGCCGTGATGGAAGAGCACCAGGAGAAGAGAACAAGCGGAAGCAGGGGTTCATGTGTTGATATATTCACCTTAAAAAAATCTCAGCTTTTCACCATATTTATGCTTGTGGTGAACGATTCAGACGAGCCAAATGTACTGTTACCTTACAATGCACGAGCGTTTTACAACAACCTCACACGTTTCCATCAAACGAAGTCCCTTGTTTGACCTTAACAACAGCTGCTTCTCGATGTTGTTGTCCGCCAGGCGAGCACGTGAAGAAGAAGGCAGGGCTTTGGAAGGTCAGTTCTTGAAAGCTACAAGCCCTTCTTCGTGAAACTTGGATTTGTTGTTCAGTGTGAAGATGGAGGACGATGGAAAAAGGAATAAAGGCTAAAGTTTTTGTATCTTTTAAGTGACCAATGTTTGGGATACAAGGGCATGTTCGATATCTGGTAACCTGTTCTTTGGTTGTAACTGTAGGTCTCTTTGTGGCAGTTCAGTGGTGGCTGTAGTCTGCCTTAGATTTCTGGGTGTATCAGGATTCGTGAGAACAAATAAAGTAGAGTTTAAACGTCCCTTTTTCTGTGTCTTTTCCTTCGACTACAAGTTTGGGCCGCAGTTTCGGTCACCGAAAAAAGAATCAATGTCCACTAGCTCTCCTGCACCCGAATGTTACCAAGTGAGGACCACACAGAGTAAACCCCAAGATAAAAAACCAAAAAGCTATAGCGGAATCCTGCTTTTCGAAAATATAGTGTTTTTATCCTTTTAAAATTTCCCTCTTCGAAATAAACGGAATATTACACCACTGGACGAAAAAAAAAGGAACGCCGTTCCTTTTTCTGTCCCAGTAAAAATGTAACGAGTTCCAGTTCCACCGATGCAAAATGGAACGGCGGCGTTCCTTCGTACCTCCTAAAAGGAAAGCGTTCCAGGAACGCCGTTCCTTCAAGCGCCGTTTCGTACAACACTGCTGTGAAGTGGTAAAATAAAAAAAAACAACTAGCCCAAGCGGCGCTGTTAACAAGATTTAATTCCATCGACCAAAAGATTTTCGCAACACGCCACCGACGCCGGATTTTATGCGACGTTGTCGCGTTAAAAACTGCTCGAATTTTCGTTTGTATCACTCACAACGCCCACAAAACCAAAGGAAACAACGCTTTGCTGGATAGATAGCGACCAAACCGCCGAACCTTCGAGACAACCGAAATTTCTCCCAAAAAGTTCTGGAATCTTCCGAAACAGTCCGAAACCAAACCGAACATCATCACTAGAACTAACTGTTATCATATTCAAATGTTACAGGTAATTTTTCTTGCAAATTTACACAGGACAATGGCGCCTGTTCCCGGTACTGACGCCATTCAGCCCCATGTGTTCGGGGGCTCCGTCGACAGCCATTTTCCTATTGAAGATTTCCGAAATTCGCGTATAATATTTTAACAGACATGCACGTAACGCGTCACTAGTAACAAGTTACTTCCACCTAGTTACTTTTTCGGTAACGAGTAATGTATTTAGTTACGTTTGTTTAGAAAAAGAACGAGTAAGATACATAGTTATTTTTAAGGTCAAGTAACGAGTTATGGCGTCAGTAGAACGACTCTTCAGCGTCGCAGATGTATTCTCAAGGAACCGGGGAAATGTGACTCAGCTACTGCTTAAGTGCAATGGCTATTGAGAAAAAAAAAAGAAAGCATGAAACAAAATTAGCTGTGTATTCGGTCGTCAAAATAACAAGAAAAGCAACTCGTTCCACTTAAGGTAAAGTACCGCCTTCCTTTTGGAAAATCGGTAACGAGTAACGTATTTAACTACTTTTTTGGGTAACGTTCACATGTCTGCATTTTAACCAGGTAACGGTGAACTACGAAACTTTCTCATCTGGTCCGGACCGCTAGCGCTACACTTAAAGGAGCTGTGCAACGATATTCAATTGGAATGTTCTTCTCTCTACACGAGCTTACTGGCACACTTTGGACTCAAGGATACTCACACGCAACGCCATTGGCCAAGAAACTCCTTTGTTGCGGTGTAATTTCAAGAACAAAAGCGATCATTTTCATTCAATCTCTCCTTTGCAAAATTTGATGACGTAACTCGGGGATCGCAGTACACCCAAGTGACGATATTTGAATGCGGTTCATAGATTGGACCCGAGCATTGCGTGGGCACTCGACTTGGGCTCGTGACAATTGCTAGCTCGAGAAGCATTCGGGTAGTGACACGTGTCCAATCGCTGCAACGACGACAACAGCCGAGCCATAACAATGTCTGGAACTCAGCGCGTGTCCTGCGCTTTGCCAACCCCAGCGCGTGGCTACGATCAACACTGGCGGCATATAATCGGCTCCAGATCACGTGGCCGCTTGTTCTGGCTGCGAGTTGAGGAGGTGAACGCTGCTCGTTTTTCTTAACTTTTTTTCTGGGACTTCTATTGCGTGGGGTGAAAAACGAACGCGTGTTTCATAGGTCATTAACGTTAGGGGTCCGTTTTAAGCGGTATTTGCGCAAAGTACAAAAATTGTTGCACAGCTCCTTTAAGGCCGGTTCAGACACTTGCGTTTGAGTGCGTTTGACTGCGATGCGTCGAGTGCGGAAAGCGAGTCACCGGCACATTTGTGATTCGTATGAAACGTGGAATCCAATCCAAGGAATCATCTTGGCACGCGATATAAGCAGCAGGGATGTCCTGGTTTCTCGCTGCCGCAACGCAGTCAAAAGCAACTGTCTGAACCAGGCTTTAGGTTGAGTCTCAAAGCGTTGTTTTTGCGGCAAAAAAGAAAAAATAATAGTTGTTTTTTGAGCACCCAAACGTTTGAATCTATGAATCAGTAAACAAACATACAAATTTTTACCTTAACAATTACATAATTTATTAATAACTTTCGATTTATATTTTCAATAGAAAAAGCATTACACTTGCAAGCTCTCAGCAGTCTGACCAGTGACATTTTACGCATATTCGTTCATGTGCCTTAGAAATTATGTTGGCATTTTCGAAAGTACCAGTGAATTGTTTTGTGTGTGTGTTTAGCCCACACTTTAATAATAATAAATAATATCGTTATAATCTTTTTTTCCTGTGCCCACAAACAACCTAACAATCTACTGCTTGGTGCTAAACACCAGTGAAAGACTATGTATGTAAAATACGATATACTGGTCATTAATACAACTAAACAAGAAGCACATAAGGATGATAACTAATGATAAAAACGCATCATCATGCTTATAGAAAAGACATCTCTTCGCATGTATGCCAAATAAAATCGCGATTGCAGTTATAAATATCGAAGTTTGTTTCACACAGAGAATTGAAAGCCAGCTGCAGCCTCGCTAAAGGTGACGCATAGAACGTATACAAACGGGGTAAAAAATTGATACGTAGCGGTTGTCATGGGTCGGAACATGGCTATTGTTAATAATACAGCAAGTGCCGCCTGCTGGACAAAGGGGATTCGCAACATAAAGAAGAAAGAACTCAATACGAATAGATTGGTTGGGCTATTGGTAGGGATCCCGGGATAACACGACGAAGAAAATATGCTTTTCGTCGCCTTCTCGCAAGTAGCATCACATAGTATCGCATGCCAGAAGCCAAGAAGGTTAGAAACTATCTGTGAAGAGATGAACGCATCTAAAGTTGTTCTCGTCGTTATTACATTGACGTTCGGAGGGTTTGCCGACGGTGAGTGTGACATTTCGCTCTACATTTTCGCCTCAGAAGTTGTTTTCGAACGTACTGGGATATACTTGGCGTTCATGAGAAGAAAGAAGCGTGTTTTCCGGCCGCGTAAACAAACCGCCAATCGTAGAAAGTTGGAATAGGACGCTAGTGGTTGTGAGAGAGCTCGAAAATTTCAGAGCATAATGGTACATGAATCAAAAGATAATTGAGAAAGACCGAATGCCTTAATGAGCCGCGGTCCGCCTAAGCCTAAGCAAGAACAATAAAATCGTTGTGTGTATGCTTATACAGACGGAAGTAGGTCTGCCTTAGTGAGCGTCTGGTGTACGTCACAGCTGTGGATGAGCAATTTAGCTATTGTGGTACGACCGCTAGCCTGGGGTCTTTAAAGAGCACCACGCAGTAGTGATACACGACCGTGCGCCGATATACGATGCCCATCCAGACCGAAACGACCAGGGGCGGGGATTAAACCCAGGATTCCTGGGTTTTGCAGCGCGAGCCTCCGGTCCACGTGATCCCAGCTGGGGTCCCATTCTGGACACTCATCGAAAAAGTCGGCGAGAAATCTGGCGTCCATGATTGGCCAACGTCGCGCTTGACCTTGGCGCCGGCCAATGATAGCCAGCAGATTTCTCGTCGACTTTTTCGCCGACTGTCCAGATTAGGGCCCCTGGTGAGCGCTAGATCACTCGGTCACCGATCCCCCTTATCTTCAAAATTTTTAAAACAAGGAATGACTTCGTGGGTGCCTGTAACAGCTATTTTAGCGGGAAAAAAAATTGTGAGCATGAAAGAAAATATTATTTTCTACGTTGCTGAAGACCTTTGTTCACTGCAATAGTTCTTAAGAACCCCCATAACGATGTAATTTTTTGTTTTGATGATATAAGGCTTAGGTAAACGTCGGCTCATAAAAAGAAAAAAATCTTTTTCTTTCTAATTAACGCCATGTTCTCAAGCTTTTGCGCTCTATCCCAACCGCTGTATATATAGTGTCACATTCTTACAAGATTTGAGCTTTCTACTACAATGCGTAGCCTATTTACGCTGGCCAAAAAAACACTTTTCTTTTTCTGGTGAGCGCCCGGTATACCAAACTCTCTCACAAAAACGTAGTGTTCCGTTTTTTTTTGTTTTTTTTTTAGGTATTGTGATTAAAGGGGGCAGAGGCATTTTTAAGGAATCTCCATCTCTTTCCTCAACGCAATGAATCCCACAAAAACTATATTTTTAATATACCCAGTTTTTAGTCTTCCAGGCATCTCATTATGGATCTCTAAATTCAAAATCGCTATTGAGGAAACCGTGACCGAAACATATGCCTTAAACCAACATTGAAATTTCCCCGCACTTTCCAAAGGGTTGTCGTCGCATGTTGTAAAACTTGCAGGCCGAGGCATGCGGTTTAGAGAAGCTCGTTTTAGCGAACGCGATTTTACCGACCCCTGTTGGTTGAATTCCTTTATGGGGGAACCCAGTCTAGAGAAAATGGCAATGAGCCCCCCTTTAGTGATTTCGGCCGCTGTGAATGCGGCGTGTACGGATGGGTCAGGTGAGTTAACATTTTTGTAATGAGCCGCTACCAAGCGGCGTAAACAAAAGGGAGGGAAGGGGGGGGGGGGGGGGCGGTAACACGCGTCCCAGTGACACACGCGCGAAGTAAGAAAGCCTTTTGTAAACAGCGTCCCCTTTTCAATAAACGGCGTTTCTTTAAACTGAGGCTCCTCTTTCTTGAAACCGAGCATCGAGAAAACGTGTCCATTCTCTGAAACGTGTTTCGATGAAATGGCGTTCGATCAACCGTAAAGTGAACCCTTCGTGGTCTCGTCTCGCCGACGCCATAGCGCCCCTGACCAAAAGAAAGAGGCCTACCCCGCCTAGAAGCCGAGGCCTACACATGACGTCATCATTTCTGAATTCCCGAGTCACTCCAAACGAAAGGCAGACTGAATCCCCACGAGTATCATCCCACTCGTTGTGAGACGTATGCGGAGCACTAGTTCGTCTGCTTTTTGCTCGCGGATTGAGATGATGTCAGAACGCCGAGCTCTTATTGGCTGATGGGGAAAAAAATAGTGGGTAGACCTCAAGGCGTCTAGCATTGAGGTCTACCCACTATCTTTCCAGTCATAGCCAATCAGAGCTCGGCGTCGTTCTGACGTCACCGCAACCCCTGCGCAGGAAGCAGACGACTTGTTAACCGCATACGAGACGCGCTGGCGGCGATGCTGACTCAAGCTATAGCAGCGTTGAGTTAATAAACCAGTGATGACGTTTGGGAGAAGAGCGGGGGAGGAAGCGAAAAAAAGGGGCGGGGGGGGGGGGGGGGGGGGCGAAGTCCTAGTCTTCTAGGTGGCATTGACCTTATTCACCCGATGAATATTGATTACTTGATATATACGTCTTGCTTCTTCTGCTGCTTTACAGACTCAGACACACCCGTCGCCTGTCGTCCTCATCTATTACATTCTCTACCGCTTTTTTTTTTTTTTTTGTCAGCCTCAGGGAGTTGCGAATTCTCCGTCCCTTAGCCGTAAAGTTCAGAACGTTAGGAGACTGATCGCGATAAGGTCGTATTTAATTACACTTCAGTGTCGATCACATGAAGCAGAAACGTTTTTTTCTTTCTTGTTGAAATCCTAGCGAATAACCTTAAAGGGGCGATGCAACGATTTTTATACTTTGTGCAAATACCACTTAGAACGGGTCCCTGACGTTAATGACCTATGAAACATGCGTTCGTTCTTCACCCCACGCAATAGAAGTCCCAGAAAAAAATTAAAGAAAACGAGCAGCATTCACCCCCTCAACTCGCAGCCAGAACAAGCGGCCACGTGATCTGGAGCCGATTATATGCCGCCAATGTTGATCATAGCCACGCGCCGGGGTCGCCAAAGCACAGGACACGCGCTGAGTTCCGGACATTGTTATGGCTCGGCTATCGTCCTCATTGCAGCGATTGGACACGGGCCACTACCCGAATGCTTCTCGAGCTAGTAATTATCACGAGCCCAAATCGAGTGCCCACGCAATGCTCGGGTCCAATCTATGAACCGCATTCAAATATCGTCACTTGGGGTGCACTGCGATTCCCACGTTACGTCATCAAAATTTGCAAAGGAGAGGTTGAGTAAAAATGATCGCTTTTGTCCTTGAATTTACATCGAAACAAAGGAGTTTCTTGGCTAGTCGTTGCATACGTGTGAGTATCCTTGAGTCCCACTAGTACCAGTAAGCTTGTGTAGAGTGAAAAACATTCCAAATGAATATCGTTGCACGGCTCCTTTAAAGCCTCGGTCACATATGATACCGCATCATACAAAAAACAGCCCACAGACACAGTCTGAGGCCTGTTTATTCCTCGTATGATGTTATAAAACACAGTCTGTAGACAAGTTCGAAGCACTATTCATAAAGCAACCCTGCTTCAACCATGCTCGCTTGCCCGCGGGTACTTCTGTCCTCATGTCTGCGGCAAAAACCCTGTCGTTTGTGTGGTGTTATGGCCAGTACGTTTCTTGCTTGAAGTGTTTGAGTTATCAGCGTGCACCAATACCATCATTGTTTCTTTGTTTGTTTTCTCTTCCTCTCGCGAACGCACTGTTTCGATGAGCTCGTACTAGTGGTTCACATGTGGATCCACGTCTCGAAGGGGGGAAGCAAACTCCCTTGAACCGATCCTTTTTCGAATTCCAAAAAAAAAAAAAAAAAGTCCCGATTGAACTGCTGTCGCGAACGTGACCAATGAATCCGATTCGTCCGTTAAATAAAATGCCGACACTCTCTTTGCAGCTTCCAAAGAAACCCGGATAGTGTATCCCATGCTCATTGAAGAAAGGTCGCTGGATGCCAGGAAAGTGGTCCGGGTCGACGAGCATTTAACTCTGCACCTCACGAAGAGCTCGGTCGTCGCCGATGAACTTTACGTGTCTTTGAATCGAAACGGAAGAAAAGTAGAGCAATGGGTAACAACGTCTCCATGACCTTCTAAAGGGGCGCGGCTCTTGGATGATTTTTCTGACATTACACGATGTACATGATCTGATACTCTATTGACACAATCAGAAAAGGACCTTTAGCTGGGGGACCTTTATGATCGTCGGCGATTCAGTTCGCGATCCCCCTCGCGTGGCATGTGTTCGCGACCCAAGAACGCAGGCTGATTCGCCGATCGCCGAAGGGACCGACGTAAATTCTTTACTAGTCGGTTACAAGTCAAGAAGGTAGGAGAAGCTCCTCCCACAAGTGTGATGCGCCCATTTCAAATCTCTCCGCAGCCGAAAGAAGAGTTCACTGGAAGCGTTCCTTGTTCCGCTTCAATGAATTCCCACTTGTCTCCGATCCCACTTTTTAAGAAAGCGACCTTTGTATTCATCGGAGAGGGAACCGAGCCCCTGAAAGCAGCCTTTGTATCCATCGGGGGGGAAGCTAATCCCCGAATGTCGTATTTGTTTCCGTCGATGGGGGAGAACTCTAATCTCCCTCTCGTGGCTTCCACAATGCTAAGTCAAAGTCGAAAGATAAAGCAAATATGTACAGAAGGGCAAGACCCTCCTCGCGCGTTGGCCGCGACGTCACGGAAACGGTGGAACGCTATTGGATGCAGAGGTGGCGGAGGGATATCTGATTCCCTTTGAGGGGCATTTGCCGCTACCTTCTTAACCTGTAACTGACTATAGGGGGAATACGCCCTTCTCTGCTCATTTGTATTAAGGGCGTGCCTACTGCGTCAATAGACCGATCTCACCAAGCGTTCGGCGCATGCGTGACACCGCCAACTTTAGTTCGCAGATGGCAGGCTGCAGTGCACAAGACGGCTCGTGCCGTCTCATGCTCCACATGCGCAGAGCTCCAGCGAGGTTGTCGCACGTGCAGAAATAGTAAAGCTTCCTCGATGCATTGCGGCAGCGGTGGCGTAGTCAAACTGGCTGGTGTGATCGGTCTATAGGGAGTATTCACTGGCGGACATACCCGTGTGCGCTCCTGCTGAGCGCGTGCTGACGGCGAGCTTCCGCAGTCCTTTGGTAGCGTACATTTAGCACCATCAAGGATGCCGGTCTTAGCAGGCTATTAATGTGAGCTCGCTCTAAGCATGCGCTCTAAACATCGCCCTCAAATATGGCGTCCAGTGAATACCTCACATCCTATAGGGAGTATTCACTGGCTGCCATAGCTGTGTGCACGAATGACTGAGCGCGAGCTGATGTCGAGCTTCCCCAGTCCTTCTGATACGTGCATTCCGCACCATCAAGAGTGCCGGTCTTGGCAGCCTATTGATATGTCAACTCGTTCTGAGCATGCGCTCTAAACAGCACCCACGAATACGGCGTCCAGTGAATACTTCCTCCTCTAGCAGTCCGGACGTCTCGTAACGCCAAAAATAAAAATAAAAAAACGTCTTTTTGCTCTAAAATTGTTTGTGAGAACAAGCTACAGCACGTATTGTGCAAACACTTCCTTCGACCGAACGGCCTCCGGTATGGTGTACTAGAAGACTGGGCAGTGTAGCGAGCGCCGGCGGAAGGGGGGCTCTTTCAGCGATGACCGGATCGGTGGGCGCGAGAGGGCGCAACGTGTAGTAGGCGTGCTGCCGGAGTGCGGAGCGCAGGCAGCGGTAGCGCTTGGCTGGCTTGGCGTTCCTCACGAGTTCGATTGTTTCGTATTGTTTGGCTAACTCTTTACGGTATTCTTTATTTCTGCCGTTTCACATATTATTTATCGCACTAATTCGTTGCCAAATGCTTTGCCCGAGACGTGCATCTTCGGGCAGGACGCCACAGTACACATCCCGACACTGCTAGCGCGAACAAGACATTGACGCTTTCTCGGATTTACTTCGAAAGAGTATTAGTGAGGACGAACTTTTATCACCTGCATTATAGACCCGAATGAGCTTTTTCCCCAGCAATTAGAACTTTGCTGAGATCCTTTGGTTTCTCATAGAAAAACTGGCGATCGCTTGTTCGCACTAACAATGTTGCGTTCTGAATAGGCGGGAAATCCATCCCCCAGGGAAACGTTCGGGAAGTCTCTTGAAAGAGGCGTCCCAAACCTGTGTAATCCCCTGGATAACGTAGGATAAGCATGCTGATGGCATGATACCTAACAAATGTGTGCTTTTGTGACCCTATAATTTCGCTGTCACTGTAGTTGTGATCAATGAATTCCGTGGTTCAAGAGCATTGACCGTAATTAATTGTTTCAACGTTTGGGAAAACAAGATGGGGCTTACAAAACGGATTATATCGTCTACTTCCGTAGGCTGCATGGAGGTGCCACTGTCGACTCTCGCAACTACTTCCACGGGCTGTCAAAGGAATTTCTAGTACTAGCCTTTATCGTGTTTGCTGTTACTACGTAGGGTCGTCATACAGGACTGTGCGAATAGTTAGAAAAATGTACCCACTCACCAGCTCTGGTAGTAACCATGCACAGTGGATAAATTCTTATTTATCCACTGAGCACCAGCTATATTGATATGTGTGGGCACCAGGGAGCACATATAATTTTTTAACTATGCACTGGGCACCAGCGCACTGATGAGATTAATGAGGTGCACCCAAGGATTCCGGAGGCGATGGTACTTCCTTTTCCCAAGAGCTCGGGAGAGGGGGGGGGGGGGGGGGGGGGGGGGGGGGGGGGGGGACTACCGAGCTCTCCCGTGGTCGGCGCCTGTGGCGTTTTGTATCTCTACATTCTCCAACGTGAAGTCATGATCTTGATGAGCTTCGACACCTTCAGGATAAATTACTCAGTATCTTCCGCTGGGCCATAAGACCCTTCAATATTCTTGCGGTAAAAAAATAGGCCTCTTAACACCTCATTGAAGAGACGGAGTGCTGGGCCAACCCTCATCCTTTTAAAGCTGTTAGGAAAAAAAAAATTTGCTGATGTGAGGCCATAACGTTTAACGTCACATTTTCACAGTCACTTCTCCAAGCCTTTCTAATGCAGCCAGCGTGCACAGGACCCTTCGGCGTGTCCAAACCAGTGTCTGTAAAACCGATTTAGCAGATACTTTAGAGTGCAAAAAATCCGAAAAAAAAATGTAGAGGACGACTGTCATGACTGCCTGCATTACATGAAGCAGAGTCTCCCTGTCACTCCTTTTAATGTTGCGGGACGACGACTGACGCCGATCGAACTCGAGAGGGGCACGAAAAAGAGAACGGGGTTCTTTGCAGGACCGGTAGCCACTGTTGCAACCCGGCACGGGCCCCAGGAATTGAGGTTAGGGAGGGGGGGGGGGGGGGGGGGGGGGGGGGTTCGGGGGACATTGAGAATATAAGAGTAGTTGCGAATTAAAGGAATGCTTTCGGAAAAACAAGGAGGGAGTACACCCCCGTAGAGTGGTGTAGGGAAATCACTGCCCCGGCACAAAACACGTCCCGTCTCTCTTGTCCCGCCGTTTTTCCGTAATTGCACGCGTCGTCTACATCCCACTGAACGGCGCCGATCACAATCCATTTCACTCAACCATTAAAAAAAAAACTGCAGGAAAACAAGGCGACGACGCGAACCACGCGATCACAAGCAGTACGACCACACGGCAATCCGAGCGGGAAGGAGCACGCCTGTTACCCGCAGCGCCCCCTGGCGTCCTTGCGCGCCGTCATCGCCAGGGTGTTGGAACGAAATGTTTTTCGTTCCGTTTTCATTTTCGTTCCATACAAAAAAGTTCCGTTCCGTTTCCGCTCCGGAACGAAAAAAATAATGCTCCGTAACGGTTCGTAACGGTTTCTTTCTATGAAAAAAAAAAAACAAATCGCAGCAAAAATTAAAAGGTACGTAACGTTTATTTTTACACCAAAATAGATAATTCAGGCGCTCTAGAGGAATCCGCGGAAACGACATTGCTTCTGAGATCATGTTCATTGCCTTGAGAATGAGATCATGATCAAGGCACCGACCATGATCTCAGAAGCAGCACGTCATCAAGTGTGCTCGGTGAAAGGCAAGACCTCTGGTCCGATAAAATAAATTTCAGCGCCGAGAAGGCCCTGAAGGCTCATGGGGATCAAGGAGTACACTTTTGCAACAGAGTCTCAGACTGCCGTAACCGTAGAAAAACAAAAGATGGACTTCTACAACGCCGGGTCACAAACTTCCCGCGCTTGCCGTGATCTGTTGTCTGTCTGTGTCGTCCGAAGAAAGCATGGAGGGAGAGGGCGCAAAAGCCAAGGAGAGCATTGCGAGCGTGTGGAGGCGTCGCGCCACCGCGCTCTCATTGGTGGGAAGCAATGGCGCCTTGCGTCATGTTTTTTGTTTCTCGTTGTATTTTTTGTCTTTGTTTTTGCTATGCTTGTTCGCCCGGAGTTTAGACGCGGGGGCGATGGCTTGCTTGTCTTCTCTTTAATTATGGTACAAACCAACGGCTGTCTCTTCGCTGCGTGAAACGAATTACTGAAATACCTGATATTTTCCCTTGAACCGAAAACCGATAAGAAATTTTTTCGGTTTCACTCCGGAACAAAATAATAAATAACGTTTCGATTACGTTTCCGTTCGGTCAAAAAATATCGTTTTTTTCGTTTTTCGTTTTTGGTTTTCGTTTTGTTCCGATACCCTGGTCATCGCTGCGCCGACCCCCTCCCTCCGTTGCTTCTCGGCGCGGACGACACACTGCCCAGTTCTAGTACACCATACCTCCGGCGCGCCCTTCGCCCATTGGCACCCTGATAAACGCGACTTTTACGGCGATAGGTGGCGCCTCCCACCAGTCCCAATTCAATGCGAAAAAAAAACTGAGGTTGTTGGACATCCAGCCATTCAAACTACACCAAACCTGTCCGTGCGAGATGTTTTCTCTCCGTCTCACTTGAGGTGCGAGCGAAGCCAAAGCTACAAGCTCGAGCGTGTGGCCCTGAACAATGCTTCCACTGCACGAGCGCGCGTGCTTGGCAGGGACGCTGGAAGCCCGGAGCTCGCTCTGGTAGCGTTTAATACACTCACACCGAAGGTGACACGAAATATAGTAAAAAATTTGTAGACGCTTTCGCGTGCCCCTCGCACACCTCGCGCGTTTGTTTTCCCACCTCGTGCACCCACAAGTCTTTGCGTCCACGACCCTAACCAATAACACCGCGCTCTTGGCTTACTCGTCATCGTGAGCTCTCTCCGCGTTCTCTATTCTTCCCTCTGATTGGGGTTCCACTCCGTGCATTATGATGCGCCGATGACGCACTGGCCAATGAGAGCGCTCCATCGGCCGATAATAATTCCAAAGATGCAAATCACGAAGCAATGAGGAGCGCCAATTCGTCTGCTTCTTTTGCAAGGGTTGTGTCGACGTCAGCACTCCGAGCACCGATTGAGTCTGATTGAAGTATAGTGGGTAGACCCGAAGGCAGCTTGCTCTAAGGTATACCCAGTATCCTTCAATCAGAGCCAATCAGGGCTCGCCGTTCTCACGTCGTCACAACCCTTGCAAAAGAAGCAGACGAATTTGCGCTCCGCATAAGCCTTAGCATAGTCGGTCAAGCCCCGCGTTTGTCAAGCTACTTGTGACTCTGGTTGTAATCTCGAGGATTCATCACTGTGCTATTCAACCAAGTGTCGTGCTACAAAGAAAATATATTTGGCGCTTTTGTTATCAGAAAAAAGGTAAATCTAAATGGGGGGAGTGCATATAGCCATTTCTCCGGCTCAGCTAGAGCCACTAAATAAGCTACGCTTCAGAGTATCTCGGTGCTGAAATTCATGGTTGCCAGTTATTTGAAGCTTTATCTGAAATCGCAGGAAATGCTTTTTTTTGTCCTTCAGAAAAGTAGAAATAAAAAAATTCCCGACAGAGCGAAATAACAGCACTTGAGTTTCCTAACACCGCATCTAAGGCTGAGCAAGTCGCATTCTCGAATTGTGACGATCGACAGTTGCGCCTGCTCCGCAGCACCAGGATGGCGGTGCCTTAGCAGATCGACAAACAGAGTGCCGATACGCTAAACGCAGCTCATTTACTGACTCTATAGGCCCTAAGCTATACTCAAAAAACAAAACTCTTAGCCTCTGAGTGTAGTGTCGCAGAATCGTTTCAAAATACTTTTCTTGAGTTCTTTCTGTGCGTGTTGGTAAAGGCGCTACAAAGGACCCTCTTTCAAAAGTGCTCGCCGTCTTAGTAGCCGCTTCACCAATTCTCCGAGTCCGCCATTGTTTGGGCAGGTGTTTTTCTGAGCATGGTGTGTGTTGGACACGAATATGACGTCAGCGTTCGGCGACGGCTCGGATCCAATCACACGCGTCGTGCTCAAGAAATGGCGGCCGCCAATGTTGCTTGATGGGGTTGTCAAAAGGGACTACTATAACGCGAAAATATTTTATGTTATCGTCTCCTAAAAACGTGAAGCCCGAGTCACACTGCACATACGTCGTACAAAAGACGCGGACCCCTCTTCAGACATTTATGACAAAATCGTCTGCTGACTCTCCGGAAGCAGGTTTGAAGCCTTCTTGCTTCATACATGCACGTATACTTGGAACATGTCTGCAAACTGTCTTGTACGATGTATTAACAGCGTGAATGCGGCTTAATGCTCTCGTTTTTGATTAGTGCAAAGTCATCTCTATTGCTTCACCTAACAGATGTCCGGAAGACTACTTTCAGAGCGGTTGTACGTTGACCGTAGGCACCTTGCCGCAATATCCTTGGAGCAATCTGGCGGTTTCTATAAAATGGTAAGATGAGTAATAAAAACACTCAATATATTTCGTCGTTTACCCTGAGACTGGGTTTTTTTTGAAGAGCAGAACAGAAAAAACTGCTCTTCAAAAAACACCCCAGTCTCAGGGTAAACGACGAAATGGTTGACTTCCACCAGCTAGCCTGTACTTTGACTCTTTTCTACTCAATATATCCTCTTTTTTTTTTTTTTTATGCCTTACTTATTAACATGGGCGCATTTCGTCTTTCTTACTTGTTAGAGTGGACTAGTGAACGCAACGCACTCTATCCAGCCGCTGGTTGCGATGGCTCGGTCGCGGGCCGGCTTAATGCCTCACGCCGTACGTGCCATACAAAAGCCACGTATAACTTCAAGGTCCGATGACATTCTAAACGGTGAGAAGTTACTATTGGTTTATTCATTACAAGCACGATAACTATGACAATATATCAAGATACGCGAGGTGGCTGTTGATAGACCCGAGATAAGCAAAATTAAGAGAACATCACGGCCTTGTGAGAAATTACATCAGTCCCTTTTAGCTAGCGCTGTCTCAAATAGACGCATTGCTCAAAGCATTGCGCATGAGAGGTAATCGCTATGCGCTACACTAGAATTACTAAATTAAGCATAGAGTATCGGTCCTCCATTGCCCGGTTATACCGGAAGCGCCGCCATTTTAATGCATTATGCAGCGCTGGTGCATTTTTTTAGAGGCTGCGTGCAATAGTGGTACACGTTCAAAAGTGCAGCTCCCAAAGAACGTAGCATTATTTTCCTTTGAGCTGGTCGAGATTATTATTTCGATAAGCTTGACGAAAATAAAAAAAAAAATAAATGGTACCAGACAACCTGTATCGTTGTTCCAGGTCGCCCCTGAACTCGCGATGGCTACGATTGGAAAATACGACTCCCACAGCTTCACAGACACGGTTTCAGGATTTTCAAGCCACGTTGTTTCGCTTTGATGGGAGGCTGTTTTGAATATTTCTGGAGGGCCCAACATTTTTTTTTGCGACTTCAAATAATGCTTTCCTTCAAAAAAAAACAAGAAACAAAAAAAAAACGTCAATAATTACTTTAAGAACAAACATAGCCAAAGAGTCCTTACTCGGAAGCATATCCCATATACTGTCTCTACGCTAATCTATATATGTGCTAGTCAATTGCTAGGACTTATTTTCGGTTTGTTTGAAAATTTCTTTAATAATAATAACAGATAAAAGAAATACCAGGGCCCGGTCAGCTGGGCTTAAGGCGTCGATTATTTTTTACTTATTTTCGGTTGCGAATTGTTTCGAGTTGTAGTTGAAAATGGTAAAGTTTTCAATAATACGCATTAAATTTTTTTAACTAAACCAGTGAGTTCAATATTACGACCAAACATAAACCTCACAACTTAAAGGCCATTTGAGTAAGAAAATAAATACAACGTCGCGACACCGCTGTGTGAAGTAAGCTAAGAATGGAAAAACTTGTCTGGAAGGGAAATAGGAAACATTTTTATTGGATTATCTCACAGTTTTCTTAAATAATTTTATCTTCACGTTTATCTTGTTTAGTATAGTAAGTTTAATTTACTCACAATACTTAATTTATTTTACCTTGACCTTCTTTTAACAATTAACGTAGGAGGCGATACATGGTTCGATGAAGTCGACCTGACTAATGGTAAGACAATTCAAAGTTACTTTTGAAATATTCCTTTAATCCACGGGATATTGGAGTAGTGAAGTGTCGACAGCGTAAAAGGCATAACGACACCTGCCTGACACAAGAATAATTGTGTTGAGTGCATGTTTGTACAGCCGGAGGTTAGTTCCAATGGGCGTCTGGTGTCTCGGATGTAGGTAAGCAATTTAGCCAGTGCAGTACAACCGCTAGCCTGGTGTCTTTAATGGGCATCACGCAGTAGTGATGCACGACCGCACGTCGGTACAAAGCTCACCCAGATCGAAACGGGCAGAGGTGGGGACCGAACCCAGTATCCCTGGGTTCACCCAGTAAAGGGTATTCACACGAAAGAGAAATTCCTCCCTTTGATTCCCGTGATGCGCATCACGTGACAAGAACGTCGCGCTTTTGCGTGGAGCTGTGGTGGTGTTAACATCGCAGGGGGATGGAGAGGCTTTTGTTCTAGCTGCACAAACACTACCCCGTCCTGGCATGGGATATCTTCGAAATTGGAGGTACCTTGTACGCATGTCTGGAAACCTATAGGTTTTGCTTAGCGAAATACCGGTGGTGGTGTCGGGATCACCTGACTTGTGGTTTGCGGTGTCGGGCATCTCGTTTGAGGCACCTGAAGGAGTCTTCGATATCATCAATGTCGTCCTCAAGCTCCTCCTCACACAACTGGTTTTTAATTCCACGTCCTTTGTGTTGCATCTGCCCATTCAAGGATCATCTTAATTCCTGCAGAAAGCAGTTTCTCGTCTTCCGCACCCAACGGCGCTGCCGCCATAATCGCGAATCGCCGTTTCATGAACGCTTTTCTACACTCGTCAGCGCGCACCGATCGCTGTTGCCTAGAGTGCTACCACTAAATGCGTCTGATAACACTGACATCCCTCTCGGCTCCCCGCCATTTGTTCAAATGCTCGAGCCAGGGAGGGAGTGCTGCTGATTCCACCGATCACTAGCGTCACGCACATACCTCTCCAAAAAGCATATCCCTCGTGTGAATAACTCTGCTGGTTGCTTACGGGAGTGAGGAGTCGTAAAACTCAATAATACAATATATTTACATATTTACAGACACTTACACTGGAGGATGTTCCTCGGGTAGTTGAGCCGTTTGGATCCTGACGATGTCTCGTGCCGTGCCTCTTGAGCATCTCATGGATGTAGGAACTGCTGGTTCTTCTTCAGCACAGTCTCTGCAGATGCCCCCCCCCCCCCCCCCTCCTTAGCGAGGAGGGCGGGTGACGAGCTATGAAATATCCTGTGTGGTCTTGGAAACGAACTTCCTTTTGAACTGTCTTATTCTTTGAAGGTGCAGGTAGGAGATTTGAGGATGACGAGGGTCGTGGGCACTCCTGAAAGGCCGGCTTCAGTCGATCTATGAATACCATGGTCTGTACGATCGTTGATGAGGAGAGTCATGTGCTTGGCTTCTCTCTGTGGGACTTCGTAGGGTTCGTTGTACGGAGGTTGAAGAAGTAGGTAGACTCCACCAAAGCTCAACCTACGAATATTGAAGACGGTTGTGTGGCTCTTGTGGGCCAGGGTCCCAGTAATGCCATCTGTAGTGCACAGGGCTGGCGAAATCGAGTACATCGGGGATGGCAGGCTACGTAGGTGGTTCAATAAAGTCAACGGGGAGCCACAAGTTGGTGCCATAGACCAGGTCAGTAAGGGTGCAGCGCAGGTCAATCTTAAAGGCGGAGCGTATGCCGAGCAATACCAACAGCAGTACTTCAGTTCAGGATGATGGATTCGTGGACTGTGCTCTCAGGGCTACCTATGCTGGTGATGTAAGGTTTCAACCATTATGTTGGTTTGCGGGTGATGTGCCATGGTGTAAAGGTGGTTTATGCCAGGAATTATAAAAGATGACTGAGAAGAGACGATTCTAAGTGTCGACCGCGGACAGTAGTGATGGTAAATGACACACCGAAGCGGCTAACCCACGTGGTGCTGAATGCATTGGCGACCTGCTCAGCTGTCATGCCGACAATGGAAATTGTTTCAGACTATCTTATTAACCGGTTTGCGCATGTCAGTATGTACTGGAAACCCTGCGATGATGGTAATGGCCCCACCATGTCCAGATGTACATGGCTGAAGCGAGTGTCAAGCTGATTAAAAACGCCGCGAGGTGTGATTGTGTGTCAAAGAACTTTCACTGGTTGTCATTGTCACCGACGCCTCACATCTGCGTTGATGCCCGGCCACACAAAGCGTGATGTGACTAAACGCCGGATAGCACGTATACTAGGGTGTGGCAGAGTGTGTCCAAATTTCAGGGGGACATATGGTCGCGGTGTGCCCATAGAGACGCCGCAAACGATCGTTGTGTTACTGCCAAGAATGTTGACATCTTCAAAGGTTAGTGATGTTTGAGATGTGCGCAGTCGACTTAACTCGTTGTCCGTCTGTTGAGCTCGAGCGAGAACTGCGAAGTCTAGCACTGGTCGAATAGAAGTGATCTCGTTGATGCGTACTCGAAAGAACTCGTCGGCGACGGGTTTGTCTTTCCCCGACACGAATTTTATGTTTGCTGTAAATTCAGATCCGAAGGACATATGAAGGATCCTTCTCGAGGTATGATTGAAGTTGTTAAATTGAAACTCGTACGCCAAAGCCTTGTGATTGGTTTAAATACAAAGTTTTCTACTTTCCAGGAAATAGCGGAAGTGTTTTACGGCAAGCTACAATTGCAGGCATGGTGCCGCGACTGGTGCCCCAGCTATGCAAGCACGTGCAGCGTGCTCGTGAGCGTAGCTTTGGCAAGCTTCCATATGCACGGGCTTGACTGCATTAGCAGAGACATGGCGGCGGCCAGTCTCCACGCTTCCAATCGTCTATAGAGTCCAAGTAGCTTTTTACCGAAGGTATACTGTGTCTACCAGCAAAAACGTTTTTGAGAAGAACGACACTGGTCGCCATCGGCCGTCTTTGAACTCTTGTAGAACTGCGCATGCTGCAGTGTTGGATGAGTCAACCAAAATAGACATTAGTGCGTCGCATTGCGGGTGAATTAACATCGTTACTCTGGAGAGTGCCTTTTTGATGACCGCAAATGCTGCAATGTCTGGTTCGGTTTAAGTGAGTTGTTCGTTCTTGCGCTTGCATCCTGCGTGAACTTGATCGACTGGCTGAATCATGGCTATGCAATTCAGAATAAAACGACAATAAAGCCTTACGAGCCCGAGGTACTCTTTGAGTTTATTGGAAACCCCGTCCTCTGAGACGCCAAGCCCACATTTCGTCGGGTAGATAACAATTCCGTACTCGCTGAGACAAAATAAAATTTGGGAGAGGTGATGAAGGTGCTCTTTTTGATCAGTGCGGAAAACAAGAATATCGTCCAAATGCGCAAAACACAAAGACAATTTACGATGTACCATGTCCATGAGCCTCTGAAATGTTTGTGCTCGATTTCGTAGGCCGAAAGGCATTCTGGTATATGCGAACATGCTGAAAGGCGTGATGATAGCAGTTTGCGGTACGCCGCAGGGTTTGACACGAATATGGTGGTAAGCTTTCACCATAGCGACTTTCGTGAAAACTCTAGATCCCTGCAAGGCACCTACGAAGTTTTGAATACCGGCCTTGTACTGTGGCATTGTTTAGAGCTCTGTTGTTCCCACATGGCCGCCAGTCGCCAGATTTGTTTTTTGGCATCATCTGTAATGCGCATGACCCAGCACCTGTTGCGGGACACACAATGCCAAGTTCGATCATGAGCTCGGCCTCCTCTCGTGCAATTTTGAGTCGTTTAAAGGGGCGATGCAACAATTTTTGTACTTTGCGCAAATACCGCTTAAAACGGATCCCTGACGTTAATGACCTATGAAATACCCGTTCGTTTTTCACCGCAAGCAATAGAAGTTCCGGAAAAAAACTAAAGAAAAACGAACACCGTTCACCCCCTCAACTCGCAGCCAGAACAAGCGGCCACGTGATCTGGGGCCGATTAAATGCCGCTAATGTTGATCATAGCCACGCACTGGGGTTGGCAAACCACAGGACACGCGCTGAGTTCCAGACATTGTTATGGCTCGGCTATTGTCGTCGTTGCAGCGATTGGACACCGGGCACTACCCGAATGCTTCTCGAGCTAGTAATTATCACGAGCCCAAATCGAGTGCCCACGCAATGCTCGGGTCCAATCTATGAACCGCATTCAAATATCGTAATATGGGGTGTACTGCGATACCCACGTTACGTCATCAAATTTTGCAAAGGAGAGATTGAATGAAAATGATCGATTTTGTCCTTGAAATCACACGGCAACAAAGGAGTTTCTTGGACAGTGGCGTTGCGTGTGAGTATCCTTGAGTCCCAGGTGTGTCAATAAGCTCGTGTAAAGTGAAAAACATTCCAATTGAATATCGTTGCACCGCTCCTTTAAGAGCGAAGCGTCGGGATCTTGTGAAGACCGGTGGGCGGGTTGCTTCAATATGGTGCGTAGTAATGTATTTAATTGGTTCCGTCGCATCGTATGGTCGAAGTAGCTGAGGGAACTCGCCTAGGAGAGATTTCAAGGGAGCCTCAAAAACTTTGTGTTGATGTGGAGAGGCTGAGGGACTCCGTCTTGGGCATCATACCGTGAACGTATCGGTGCGTTCCCGTGTCCAAAAGTACGTTGCGCCTGGGATCAATGAGGACGCCGAAATAACCTCCTAGGATGACTTTTTAAACATCTGCTACAATGAATACTCAGCGGAACGTCCTACGCGAACCCAGGTCGAGTGTAATCGATCGCAGTCAATATATATCTTGATGGAGGAGCCGTTGACAGCTCGTAACGGAGGTATTTCGTTTCGACACCGTCCATCTTCTTTTGTTGGTGGAATGACGCGGACTTCAGCGCCAATGTCAACCAGGTATTGAAGCTCAGTAGCGCACGCAGTCTCAAAGAACAGACGGCTTGCTAGCCTAAGCAACCTAAAAGCGTAAACAAACGTGTTTTTTTTTTTTGTTTGTTTTTTTCTACGCACTGGGGAAAATGGTCAAAAACTGTCTGGTTGACGTATGCTACTCAGAGATGGCACCACAATATAGAGCAAAACGTGAAAACTTCTTTGAAATGAAGGTCCGAAAGCAGATCCAATAGATTCGATCGTGTGTGGTACACTATCTGCGAGGATCAGCGCCAACCAGATAGATGATTGTTGCCGTTTCCCTCTCTGTTCATAAAAAGAAACAGGTTTGATCGGGCTTAACTTTCCTTTCTTTAGACCCACAGTCCTAAAATTTTACTATAATAAATTCACCACCTAAAGACACATTTATTATTTTCCATGCGCTGCTTGATTAGTCTATGGAAACTATTTGTTTTTCTACGTCCCTAAAGCGCTCAGAAGCACACTGTGTTAATGCAGTCGTGTCCGTGCCTCCCATTACACACTGAAGAATGCTTGATATGAAGTGTGGAGAGCCTTCAAAAGCAGCCAGTAAAACAAAACCTAATTTATATTGCTTTCTTTTTAGCTTGGAAACACAGACGTGATCGCTGGCCCAAGGATAAATATTCGAGTGAGTATTGTTTGGTTTGTGAACAACGCGGTTTAATCCATTCGCGAGCTTCACGTGGACATCGCAGGAACAAACCGCGCAACGGAAATCCATTGAAATGACTTCAAATATTGGAAGTCGCCCTTTACGACATGCTTCTCTGTCCATATGTGCCCCCTCCGCTATCTGCTGTGGCCCGCTTGTTGTGTTTCACGCTGCCCGATCCGATATGCGATGCGTCCCGCGCTGCTATGCGACGCGTCAATAGTGAGAAATAGGCTGGTTGGTGCATCGTTCCTTTTGACAAAACGCCAGAAGACATGTCAGAGAGCGAGAGTCACAGCACCAAGTGCTACTTTCAACTGACTGTTTATTGAAACAGCGCAAACCATTTGTAGACCAATTCGGGCTTTACAAGTAGGACTTTAAATTATGTTAAATAAACTCTCGGCGCGCTCATGCATCTCTCGCCACCTTGCATTCTGATGTTGAATGACTCATACAATTCTCTCGAGCTCTTGTTTCTTAAGTTCCCCAGAATTTTTGTTTCTTTCGGTTCAGGGGCACAAGGGAATGTATCCCAATAGTGCAACCAACCACTGCTGCGCTGTCATCGCGCGACGCAGCAGAAGTTGGTTGCACTATTCCTCCACGGGGCGCGGTGCCGTCGGGGCCGAGATGCGCCCCGAGAGCAAACCAAAACTTAAAAACCCGTCGAATTTGTGCGGTTTTTCAGAAAGCCGTAAAATGCTTCACGTGCCTTCTATCATTCTGCAATTTGTTGATTTAGTGTTTTTGATGATGCTGAGAAATTTTCTCATTGAAACCATGCCCTTACACAATATTAAAAAGATAATTACGCAAAAATAATTAACAACTTAATTATCTCCGACTTTAATTATTTTTCCAATTAGGCCCATGGCCCAGGAGCGAAACGACACAAGTCATTTTTGTGGCAAAACGTAGTTTTCGCAATATCGAATTTTTCCACCTTTCGTGAAACACCCTGTATATTTATAATATATATGAGGGGGGAACTTAGTGGTTGACGGTGACTATGACTAAAAGCATTACCACTAAACTGTGAAATCACTGTTTAATTTTAAAAATACTTTCTTTGTTTTTCATTTATAGGTGTTACCATGCAGACTATAATCGTGGCCGAAGCTGATTTGCTCAATACAATTTTTATAAGCCCAGTCCCGGATGACCCAATAACGTACCTGCTGCTCTATGGGGCTTCTGTAAGTTCTCTCTCCTTGTTTGGTGTTAAAAAAATTCTGAGGCATGATTTTTATGAAACACTTCTTGAAATGTTTTCTGTGCACTACGATAATGTGTTTATTATTATTATTTGAAAGCCTGGGTCTCACACCTACTTTGATCGAAGCTTTCCGAGAATACGTTACTTATGACGTACTTGCGACGACAACTTCCGGTCCTCGAGACGTCTTGAGGTGCCTGCAGCAGACGACGAATGCGGAATGACGAATGCGGAATGACAGACGTACGTCGTCTTTAACAGCTTGAGTGAATCCCACAATAGAAACGATTTTGATCTCGTATCTATTATGAGCATGGCAGGTATAACACAAACTAAACAGGTGCATAAAAACGAATCGTATTTCTGCGCGATACCCTATTGGCAAGACCAGTTTGAAAATCTAACTGGTCAGACTGGTATTTGGACTGGTCAGACTGGTATTTGTACTGGTCAGACTGGTCTAACAGAAAATCAAACTGGTGCAACTGGTAGCCAGACTGGTCTAACTGGTAACCATGTTGATCTAACTGGTCACCAGATTGGCCTGACTGGTCACCATATTGGCCTAACTGGTCACCAGATTGGCCGAACTGGTCACCGGATTGGCCGAACTGGTCACCAAATTGGCCGAACTGGTCACCAGATTGGCAGAACCGGTCAGCAGATTGGCCGAGTTGGTCACCAGATGCCGAACTGGTCACCAGATTGGCCAAACTGGTCCAACTGGGAACCAGATTGACCAATCTGGTTACCAGATTGGCCTACCTGGTCCAACTGGTTACCAGTTTGACCCCTCTTTCTGACTTTATTTATTGGTTTTCTCACTTTAATGTATTGACTTTCAAATAATTACAGCATAATCGAACGTTTACTTTTTACTAAGAGATTCATCCCCTGAGCCGTTCAAACTACCTTTAGAGGTATGAGATTTCGGGAAAGAAATCAACATGCTGGGAATATTTTTTATTGCTTAGGCGGCCACCGAGAAATTCCGTACGTTCAAAACGACAAGTATAAAAGACGGAAACGCAGAGCTCGGAAGTATAGTGATCGGGTTAGTGTGCCGTTGTATTGATGTTTGTATGTGTTGTGTATGTGTATGCGCTCAATGTATGTTCAGCTGATGCTTGTAGTAGGCGTATTGTGTCTGCATTTGTGTATAATAAAGATTTCCGAAGCGTAGTGCTTGAACAAATTAAAATTTTTTGGTCGAACCGGCGTGACAAGTCCACCAGTGTGACCAGTTCAACCACTTTGACCAGTTCAATCATCATGACCAGTCAACTAGTATGACCAGTTCAACCGCCATGACCAGTCAACCAGTGTGACGAGTTCGAACCACCTTGACCAGTTCAACCATTATGAAACTGGTCAAACCATTCAACCATTATGAAACTGGTCAAAGTGGTAGCAGTTTGAAACTGCTACCACTTTAAACTGGTATTTCCAATAGGGTAGGGATCCCGCCTGATGGAAACGATCACACGCATAGAGATCGTCTGCAAAATATTTATGGTACTTCACCGGCGAGAGAAACATCTCTTTAGTAGGTTTAGTTCGCGATATCAAAGCATTGTCATTCTCTCAATTTAGTTTTCCTTTTTTTTTTCATTAACGTGCACCGCAAAGAATAGTCAATTTATTTTGCTCTCACATCATAGTTTCGAAACCGCGAATTTCGTTTTCGAGCTCGCGATATGAGATTGTGTTTCGTATACCTGTTTGTAACCACCAAAGTGAGAAAAGATTTCGCTGGTTCTTGTGTTTTGAACAAGACCCAAAATAGCGAAAGAGTTACCTAGGTAAGAACGCTAGATAAATTAACTGTTGAGCGTGTTGGTAAAGTCGACTGGGCACAGAAAGCATCCAACAAACTCGGGGCAAGAGACAAACTCCGAGTTTGTCTCCTGCCCCGAGTTTGTTTTATTATTTCTGTGTCAAGTCAACATCAGGGTAGTTTCAATATGTTGGGGACAGACTGTGAAGCAATCGCATTCTACGCCATCATAACTATGTGAAACGCGCGCGCTGGCGTGCACTTCGACGTTGATACACTTCACACACATACGCGTTCTTCAAAATCAAGAACAAAAGCTCCTTCCTCGTTCATTGTTAATCTATGTACTGTCAGGTTGAAATGAAAGGCGATCACCGGAGCGCGTGCCGCTCCGTACATCCTGCGCCGCCTGTCAGCGATCGGGGGAACCCTCGGTGCATGCGCTGTTCAAGTTGAGTGTGCGAGGCTGCGTGTCCTACTGTTAGGTGCTCAGCTCCCGGCTGGCGCACCTGTGCTTCTCCGCGGCGCCGCTGAGGGTGCTCTAAGCCGTCGCCGCTGGAGTTCAAGCTCCTGGCTGCCATCGCCGCGCGCTCCCCGAGCGAGCGGTAGCGAGGAGCCGACATTCGGACGCCCCGCCGGGGCCGCCGTGCTCGGCACCTAACAGTAGGACACGCAGCCTCGCACACTCAACTTGAACAGCGCTTGCACCGAGGGTTCCCCCGATCGCTGACAGGCGGCGCAGGATGTACGGAGCGGCACGCGCTCCGGTGATCGCCTTTCATTTCAACCTGACAGTACAAGTTTCTGTTACATTTCCAGCGGCTCAAAAGGAACGCGTTCCCGTCACTTTTCTAAGATTAGAACGAGTCGTTGCATTAACGTTACATTTGCATATTTGATTAACATAATTCCTAGATGAAATGGAACGAAAGAGTGAGACTATCCGCATCGAACTCGGCGTGTCGTGTCGTCAAGATCACATTTCTTCCAGTTCTTTGTTTTCCACTACCTCTCGGACACTTCCCCATTTCTTCAAATCGAAAATCTTAATAGCTGGTAATAAAAAAAAAAAAAAAAGTGTCTACCAAATTTGGGCAAAATTGCAGATATATAAAAAAAAAAAAAAAAAAAAAAAAAAAACGTAAGAAAGGAGCACCGCGCTGTTTCCTCGAAGGCGCAAAGAGTTCCCGTTCCGGTTCCACTGACCCAGACAGAGCGGCGGCGTCCCTTCATTCCTTCTAAAAGGAACGCGTTCCGGGAACGTTGTTCCCTGAAACATCGTTCCGTGTAACACTGTCTTGACGTCGTCGTCGTCACTCGTTATGATTACGTGATCACACTTTGTTTTCACGCTACTCATTGCAGTATCGATAGCTTTCCGACAGGCATCCGCGCGTTAGCTGGTGCACCTCGAGAGTCGATCAAGGCTGTGCACAGGCACTCTTCGCTTCTGAAAGGGGGGATCGGTGGCCGAGTGGTCTAGCGCACACCAGCTCGGAGCACGTGGAGCGAAAGCTCGCGCTGCAGAACCCAGGGATCCTGGGCTCAAGCCCCACCCCTGCCCGTTTCGATCTGGATGAGCATCGTACCGCCGTGCGGTCGTGTATCACTATTGCGTGATGCACGTTAAAGACCCCAGGCTAGCGGCTGTACCGCACTGGCTAAATTTCTCATCTACAGCTGGGAGACTCGTCGCCCCTGTGAGGCAGATCAAGTTCTAGGCTGTATAAACACACACACAACCCAATTTTTTTCGCTTCTGAAATACTACAAAAAGCTGCCCCCGAAAATAGGCTTAGTAGCTTTTCAGCAACTTAATGCAACAGATGTGTGCTCCGCCAGCAAAAACCACTGAACCCACGAAGCCATGGTGTCGTGACGAAGGTTTTTCTGTCCCAACTATATAGCATTCGTTTTTTTTAGAGCGCAGCTCTTAGAAGCCCGTTTCCGGCTTGAGTGGCGTCGCCATCGGCGTAACCACGGGGTCACGTGACACCCCCCCTTCCCCCGAGGTCACGTGACCCCTCCCTCCACAGTCACGTTACCTAGGGTGCCTACATGTTTCCGCCGCTCCGCTGTTTAGGGTGGCGACAACGTTTGTGAAACCTGTTGCCGACAAACCAGTGTTGCCTACCTCGTTACCATGGCAACCTCCGCTGTTTCGTCGACCATTTTGTCACACTCGCCAGTCGTGCGCTCGCGCTACTCCGCTAATCCTCGTTAGGGCTAGGGAGCGCCCACCGCTCTCGTTCCGACGGCGAGGTTTCGGCGTGCGATGCCGGTCTGTTGCGTTCCATTTAGTCGAGGGGACTCACGTTTCGATAAGCGCAACGCATACTTCCTGCTCGCAACTTCAAAGTATGAAACACCCGAATAAAGAGAGCGACAGCCACGACGACCGCCACCCCGCTGAGCCTCCGACTCGTCCGACTCCTCTTATGAACGGAAACGGAAGGGGCCTCACAGTGTTGCCGGTGTGTCAAAACTACGAAGACTCAACGTTGTGTACGTTTAGCCAAATAAGAAGTAGGTCAAAATGGCGGTGGGAGAGGATCTGGGAAAGGGTAACAAGAAGTTGGCGCCACCCTAAAGCGGAGCGGAAACATGTAGGCACCCTAACGTTACCCCCTCCCCCGAGGTCACGTGACCCCGCTCCCGCCGAGGTCACGTGACCCCCCTCCCCGAGGTCACGTGATTCCCCCCTCCCCGAGGTCACGTGATTCCCCCTCCCCGAGGTCACGTACCCCTCCCCCCCTCCTTTCGAGGTCACGTGTCCCCCCCCCCCCCTCTTTTCGAGGTCACATGACACCCTCCCCCCGAGGTCAGGTGATCCCCCGGAGGAGATTGAAGAATGAGGGGGGAGGAGTAGGAGGAGGAGGGGCATACCTTTTCCTCAGTACCCTTCCCTCCTACTCTCCTCCTCAAGAGCTGCGCTCTGATTCGGCGTTACAGGGAGTTGTAAACGGTTTTTACTTTTTTTCAATAAATGTTAGTTGCGAGTGCGCCAGTGCTTACGTCTCTTCTTGTCCTTGTTTTTTTCGGCGTCTATCTTACATTGGCCCAAATTGCCATCTTAAGACAACATTATTCGCGACTCCAGCGACCTATAGGGGGCGCCACCACCAAACAAACATGGCGGCTGAGTCCAGGTCGCGGCGGCTCGGCCGGGCCGCCTGAACAGGTGGCCTGTTCAATTTAACAGATCTTCTTTTGTTTAACGCCCAATTTTATAGGTATTTGAACTGAAACGGTGAAGTAGTAGCCGGTGCAGATAAACTTGCAAAGCATAGTTTTGTTTTGCCGGTGTTTTGTTTTTGTTCTTTTCGTGTCAAACTTTCGTTTCGGAGGTTTCGTTCAAAACCGAAACTATGGGCTCCGGAGAGACGGTAATATACTAATCAGTTTTGATCATCTAAAGAAAGCGGCGATTACTATAGAATTGTTCCACAGTGAGTAACTTTTCAGCTAACTCGCATGCCTCGACCATGCGACTTATCTGTCCGCGGAATCGAGCTTTTGTGCGTATCCGCGTTTACGAAACAGCTCCAGTCGTCTGCTCGGCCATGAACACAGGCTGCAGGAAAATTGCGAAAATTAAGCAACCGCTTCTTGAGCTAAGGACACGGCGTCGCCAGACAAACAGCGATGCAAAACCTCTCCCTTCTTCAGGTGTTGGTGACTGCGGCCCTTTCTGCGATCCCGCCAGGAAATCTGCTGCATCGTCATCTCCTGGCTTGGGACACGTCATCTGTTGTCATCGAGAGTGTCACGGCATTTCCTCGAGCGTTTTCGCCACCAACTTGGATCCACCAGGAGGCGTTCAACATCAGCATCTGGCAACACTCAAGCACTGTAACATCACATGGTTCCTACCCCGACGGGTGGCTACATAAGCCGACCGGGATGGATGGCCAGTTGGGGCACGGCGTCGCCAGACAAACAGCGATGCAAAACCTCTCCCTTCTTCAGGTGTTGGTGACTGCGGCCCTTTCTGCGATCCCGCCAGGAAATCTGCTGCATCGTCATCTCCTGGCTTGGGACACGTCATCTGTTGTCATCGAGAGTGTCACGGCATTTCCTCGAGCGTTTTCGCCACCAACTTGGATCCACCAGGAGGCGTTCAACATCAGCATCTGGCAACACTCAAGCACTGTAACATCACATGGTTCCTACCCCGACGGGTGGCTACATAAGCCGACCGGGATGGATGGCCAGTTGGGGCACGGCGTCGCCAGACAAACAGCGATGCAAAACCTCTCCCTTCTTCAGGTGTTGGTGACTGCGGCCCTTTCTGCGATCCCGCCAGGAAATCTGCTGCATCGTCATCTCCTGGCTTGGGACACGTCATCTGTTGTCATCGAGAGTGTCACGGCATTTCCTCGAGCGTTTTCGCCACCAACTTGGATCCACCAGGAGGCGTTCAACATCAGCATCTGGCAACACTCAAGCACTGTAACATCACATGGTTCCTACCCCGACGGGTGGCTACATAAGCCGACCGGGATGGATGGCCAGTTGGGGCACGGCGTCGCCAGACAAACAGCGATGCAAAACCTCTCCCTTCTTCAGGTGTTGGTGACTGCGGCCCTTTCTGCGATCCCGCCAGGAAATCTGCTGCATCGTCATCTCCTGGCTTGGGACACGTCATCTGTTGTCATCGAGAGTGTCACGGCATTTCCTCGAGCGTTTTCGCCACCAACTTGGATCCACCAGGAGGCGTTCAACATCAGCATCTGGCAACACTCAAGCACTGTAACATCACATGGTTCCTACCCCGACGGGTGGCTACATAAGCCGACCGGGATGGATGGCCAGTTGGGGCACGGCGTCGCCAGACAAACAGCGATGCAAAACCTCTCCCTTCTTCAGGTTGGTTACCTTCCGAATGCAGTTTGTTCTCGAAGTAGAAATCCGAATTTTATTGCGATGTCGTGCCCCAACGACCTTTTCTGGCGAAAGTGGCTGTGTTTTTACTGTTTGCAGTACTCGTACATTTTTTATGTTTCTCGGCTCCTTTTGTTAATGTCCGGAGACGTGGAGGCAAACCCAGGACCACTAACCGATAGTGAGCAAATCACAAGTATTCTTGCAGCTGTCCAGAGAATCGAGGCTGCTCAGACAAATTTGCTGGCAACAGTCTCGTCATTGGAGAGCGGACAAAAGGCTACCGAGATATCTGTCCAACAATTGTTTTCAAGGATGAGTGCTGTTGAAACGAGGTTGGCTGATAGGAACTCTGCATCTCTAACCCCCCATGATGAAAATCTTCCTGTTGACCTAGCGAATATTCAGAAGCAGTGCGATGACAACGAAAATAGGCTTCGGAGGTCAAATCTGTTGTTCTTTGGCTGCCCAGATAACAGCACCGAAACATGGGGGCAGTCGGAACAAAAAATTATCGAGTTTTGTTCGAGCAAGCTGGGAATCCAGCTGGATCCCGCAAATTTAGAAAGATCGCACCGCCTAGGGAAATTCGAGCCCCAGAAAGCTAGGCCAATAATAGTCAAGTTTGCCCGATTTAAAGACAAAGAGAGCATCCTGGCCTGTGGGTTCAAACTGAAAGGCACCCATTACGCTGTACGCGAAGATTTTTCTGCGTCTGTGCGAGTTGCCCGTGCCAAACTTTTTGAGTATGGTAGGAGTATGAACGTGCCGTTTAAAGTGCGTTTTAACAAACTGCATGCGGACAACAAGCGTTTTATTTTTAACTCGGAATCTCAAACAGTTGTTGAATTTTCATAGCTACATGCTTCTGGCAAAAACAAAGCGTTACCGCCATCCCCTTATGCCGCCTTGCGCGATAAAAACAAAAGCCTTTCTGTTCTTTTCACTAATATTCGCAGCTTCATGCCAAAACGCGACGAGTTTCACAGTGTATTGGAGGACAGCTCATCAGATTTAGTCATTTTGACAGAAACTTGGTTAAACCCTGAAATCGAAGATAAGGAGCTTTTTCCGCGAAACTTAGATTACAAAGTCTTCCGCCACGACCGGCATGGCCAGAGGGGCGGCGGTGTGCTTATCGCAATAAAGAGTTTTATATCTTCTTTTGATATCTGTTTAGCGAACCATGACTTGGAATTTACTTGCATATGTGTTTGTACGCCATCAAATAAGGTCATTGTGGGCGTATGTTATAGGCCACCAAATTGTGCTTCATCATTTCATACTGATCTATGCTCTGTCTTACTTGATATACGAGATCGATTTCCAAAGGCTGATATGTTGTTATTTGGTGATTTTAATTTTCCACAAATCGATTGGTCAAACCTTTCATCCGTAGGTTCGGCCACATCCGCACACTTTCTAGACATGTGTCTTACTCTGAACCTTACACAGCTTGTTGATAAACCAACTCGTTTGGGAAATATTCTCGATTTAATACTAACTACGTCACCGGATCTTGTCAAGTGTATCCAGTACTGTGACGGGCTCAGTGATCACAGGCTGCTGCATGTTGATTTATCACTCCCCACTCTCACCAAGCATCCCATTTCCAAAACTATTCACGATTATAACAAAGCTGATTATATCTCGATAAACCGCGAGTTGGCAATCTTCTTTGACAATTACGTCGTTCATTTTCCTCTTAGATCTGTAGAAGAAAACTGGACATTATTTAAAACTAAAATGAATCATCTAGTAAAAATGTTTGTTCCTACAGTTCGTGTACGCACCGATTTAGGTAATCCATGGTTTACAAAAACCTTGCTTTCTTTGCGAAACAAGAAAAAAAGACTTTTTGCAAAGGCCAAACGGTTAGATACCACCCAGTCTTGGGATGTCTACAATTCTGCATTAAAAAACTACACAAGGAGCATAAAACAAGCCAAGAATAAATTCTTTTTTAATGACTTACTGTCCATTTTGAGGAGTAACCCGAGAAAGTTTTGGAATCTGGTTTCACCGAAGAACAACAACTCTGCCATCCAACTACGTACCGACAACGGCGATCCCATTCCAGAGAGAGACATTGCTACAGTGTTTAACGAATATTTTTCTTCCATTTTTACTAACGAGTGTTTGAACACTGTTCCCAGCCTCCCCGAGCAACCTTACGAAACCATGCCTCCAATCAGTGTAAGCGCAGCCGGTATTCAAGACCTCATTGCCAAATTAAAACTCTCATCGTCCGCCGGTTCCGACAACATCAATTCCAAAATTCTAAAAAATACTACCAGTATCTCAAGTGAGTTCTTAAAATTAATATTTGACCAGTCACTATCTGAAAGCTCCCTCCCTTCTGACTGGAAGGTTGGCAGGATCGTCCCAGTTTTCAAACTGGGAAGTCGCTGTTTGGTTTCAAACTATCGTCCTATATCTTTAACTTCAATCGCATCTAAACTTCTTGAGCATATACTATATTCGCAAATTATGAGTCACCTAACAACTAATAAATTTTTTCAAAAAGCAGCATGGATTTAGAAAGGGATTCTCCTGTGAGACGCAGCTTTGCGACTTCATCCATGACCTACATACTAATCTCGAGTGTCGGGCTCAGACTGACGCCATCTTTCTGGATTTTTCGAAAGCTTTTGATCATGTTCCCCATCAACGACTACTATCCAAACTGGCTTCACTACGTCTTGACCCGCTAATCTTCTCATGGATACGTGACTTTCTTTCTTACCGCGTGCAATACACAGTTACTAATTACCATGAGTCTGCCCTAACAAACGTTTCATCTGGTGTTCCTCAAGGGTCCGTACTGGGTCCCCTACTTTTTTTAATATTCATAAATGACCTTCCGGCCACCATTTTATCTAATATTCGCCTGTTTGCAGATGACTGTGTCGTATATAACAAAGTAACAAGTTTGCATGACAACATTCAACTTCAAGATGATTTAGTAAAAATTAATAAATGGTGCGAAGAGTGGCTGATGCCATTAAACAAATCTAAATGTAAACTAATCTGTTTCACTAGAAAAAAAACTGTTTTGTCCTACCAATATTACTTGGGCTCCGATTTAATTGAGACCGTTCCTTCGTACAAATATCTTGGTGTAAAATTAACATCAGACCTTTCATGGAATACTCACATTGAAGCCATCTCCGCAGACACCTCCAGGACCCTGGGAGTACTCCGACGTAACCTTCGACCTGCTCCACCAACTGTCCGCAAACTGGCCTACGACACACTTATCCGACCTAAATTAGAATATGCTGCCTCCATCTGGAACCCCCATCAAGGCTACCTTATCAATCATCTGGAAGCAATTCAAAACAGGGCCACTCGTTTCATCCTCTCCACGTACGATAACTCCATCAGTGTCTCTTCCCTAAAAAGTCAACTCAACCTTTCTTCTTTGCAGCTTCGTAGGAACATCTCTCAGCTCTGCCTCCTTCACAAAATTTATTATGACTGTCTTGAACTTAAAACAGCATTATTATCACCTCCCGATCGAACATCATCTCGCCTCAACAATGACTGTACCATCAAAAGGATCTCTGGCTCAACAAACGCTTTCAACCGATCTTTTCTCCCACAAGCTATCAAAGACTGGAACAGCCTCCCATCCTCCATCGTCACCATCGTAGAACCAAACGCCTTTAAATCAAGTCTTCAATCGCACTTTTTATGTTGTTAACTGTTTACCAACCTTTTCCTGAATGTATTATTTTTTGTCTGTTTTTCCAATGTATAATATGAATGATCCCCCCCTTATGTAATGCCCTCACGGGCCCTTAAGGTTCAATAAATGAAATGAAAGGACCATGTTAACCCGCCGGCGCCCCACTTAGCAGCTGATACTCGTATTTCAATTCAGGTTTTAGTAGCAATCGAGATGTCATTTTGACGAGCGGGTTATGTATTATATTACGTACTATGGTCCCACTAAACCGATATTAGTATATCCTTCGGGTTGAAATATGAGCTTAGTCGACTAGCTATTAGGTGAGCTGCTGAATAAAAGTATATTTGACAGACGAAGACATACTACTTAAATTTAGCCAAAGACAAACTGAAGAGGGTCTTCATTGAAGATCCACGCAGAACCTCTCTACATTGAACTTTGCTTCGAATCCTGAACGGAGAAAATTAGTATTTTTTTGTGGCCGGTCAACCTGATCAATGTAGACGTATATTGCTGCTGGCTTCGATGTCCTGGTAATATAAATATTGGAGGCGCGATAGGTCAAAATGCCGTGACAGCATCTAACGTTGCGAGACTTGTCTCCCACCTTTTGAAAACAGATAATTTCCCTCATTCAGCATTTGCAGCGAGCAAGTTTTCCTGAATCAAGTAATTACGAAATCAGCCCAACTCCTTCAGTGTGGTCCAGAGGCTTTTTCGGCAAAAAGCAGCCAAGATGAATAGCCAACGCACCGGCCGGCGTGGGTGGCTCAAACTTGAAGCTATACCGAACACAATCAAACTCAAGAAAAGCAGCTATCGAACCTTCCCATTCACTTGACTGCAACATTGGTGTTCCGTCCAGTATCAGTTACCAAGCAGTCGTCACTTTGAATGTGATTCGAGACAGACAAGAAATCAAAAAGTTTTTCCGTGATTCCTCTCCATCCAAGAAATCGAAAGCATACGACCTTGTGCTGTGGAGTAAACGGGCTTTCAAACACGTAATAGAAGAAAACAATTTACTGAGGCTTCACCACACTAATGATCACTCGGGCAAACTTAAGAAATATTCGGACCTTCGTCAAATTACATTGTTCGCCACCGCGCCGACAACACGTGTCCGCGAAAGGCACCAGAGACGCGGAGGGGCGCGGAGCGACCTGGACCGGCTGGTTCCCGGTTTTCCCGCTTGGCGACGTCCGTTTTGCTGGAGTCGCGAATATGTGGACACGCTTCAAGGGTGTGCATGTTTGCTTTGTACATGTATACCCTTCGAAAATGCCCAAAGAAAGTTTTTGCATGACCAATAGAGCGAGACCGCCATACAAAGAAGAAGCCCGCCGCAGACAGTGGACAGTGTCTGCGGTTTGTCTTTTGTGTGAAGCAGTAGCAGGTGTGACCGCGGCTTAAAAGTGTTGCAGTAACACCCTGAGGCATTTTAGCTCTCTAGCCACTAGAACACAGTTATTTATTTTCTCACAAGTGTACCATGTCTTGGTGTGTACCTCTGAGCCCGAATCCTTTGTGTATTGACGAGCATTTTTTCTCTTAGTCCTGGGACGACCTGGACTCTTAACCCATCAATGTGTAAATCTTGCATATCCGTCAGTTTTACTTGCTTGCAGGTTGCCCTACGAATTCAGGCCCTGGAATACCCAGGAATCAACATGATTCTGACTGGCGTCTTCAGCGTGAGTGACTTCCTTAGCTCGACTATCTCGAAGGGTGTAGCACGCCTGTCCCATATGCAGTATGCTAGTCTCTAAAGTCTTACGTCATTAGCCCTACACGTTTCGAAAACCCCGCGTTCCATTACCCCGTCTCGTGTCCTCCGCGTGCCAAAAGCCCCGTCCTCGCTCTCCCCGTCCCACCCTCTTCGCGCTTCGACCAACATTGCTCCATGTGTTTACCCAGCCTGTTGAAAATCTACAAAGGCTCTTTTAATTAAAAGGAAAAATATATGGTTAATTTGAACCGCCGTAAAACTTAGAATGACGTAAAATTGGCCTATTGCATAAATCTGCATAACCATGCGATGCACTCCGCTGTCATCGAGGGAGTTCAGGCGCAGAATTATAGACTTTATTTCTCTAGGTGGCTACATATATTTTTAGCACGACATAAGAAGGATGAAACTGCGTGTTCGGTGCTGTGATAAGTATGGAGGGGGCCATAAGCTGGCGGGTTAACAAACAGTTTGGAGACAATTAATCCACTTCGTTGGACCAGTGAATTCGCACGTGCTTCAGAGCTGACGAAAGCATTGGTTCAATGCTTATTGATAAACGCCGTAACTTCCAAAGGTTTGGCAGTGACTGATATTTTCTGCTTGTTTTCACTTTTAACGTCGCATGACAGAAATGTGTTTAGCGCACGCCTGAAGAACGGGAAGCTTTCTTCCTGTGAGAGGTGAGACTAACTGAAGCAATCAATGACTTTGCGACAATCGATTCAAAAGGCTCATTAGCATTTTGAAAATTCAGGAAAGACCGCACCCCCAAGGCTATCATTAAAATATATTGTAACACATCGTGGTGCCATCTCCCTATGGGCGCAGCAAGCGGACGATGCAATCTGTCGTCTGCATATCGTTTACCTACCGAAGAGAACCCCGGGCAGCTTTCTTCTTTCAGAAAAGAGTTTTTTAGTTTTTTTTTTTTTTTCATTGTTGTTGTTATAGTTGTTGTATTTATGGGCGGAGTATACTGTGCAATCCTGACTTGACCTTGAGTGTCCGTTGGCGCTTATTGTTTTGCCGAGAGTGTCAAACGTTCGCAATCAAATTTGAACACGTGCAGTCTGTTCAGTAACTGCCCTTCCTTCCGTTCTAAGAATCCTACTAAAAATGAATGTTTAGATTATTCACTTCCATCCCAATTCACGCCTGGGGGGCAGTATATTTACCCTTAGCTTTATTTGACGCTTTCCTATTTATATTTGTGCATTATGTTTTTGCAGGCGCCTCAACGTGTGGAGCAACTTATAAAATCTCAAAGTCCGCGAACGGTGCCCGTAATACAAACCACTAATGTACTAGCGTCAATGCTTACTAGGCGTGGGACCCCGCACAACAGTGCTGATGTGGTCATTTTTCTCACAATGTGAGTATGATTCCGTCGTATAGTTTATCACCATCGTCGTCGGGCAACGCGAGACTCAGCCCGGACCTTTGGAATCTGCCGAGCGTTTCAAGCGGTCACAGTTATAAGTTATTCCGAATACAGACAAAAAATAGAATTTATCTTACAATATGATTAAATGGCGAGAACGTTTCTAGATACAAAGACGCACGTGAAGTTTGACCTCGAGTTTGCCACGAACTGACGATTAACATCCTAGCACAACGGTCATGCCAGCATAATAATAGACAGTTCCAGCCAGAAAAGCAATGGCTCACTCACTCTTGCAGAAAACTTTTTTGCCGCCGAACAAATTTGCTTGGCAGAAATAGATCGCGCCGTTCCCATGCCGCCCGCCACGTCCGCGCTACTCTGGTCTGGCGGATGCCGGAGAAGGCAGCCTCTAGCCGGCTGGACGGTGCTCCAAGAACTGCTGTTGCAGGCTTCCTCGTGAGGTTAACGCTTCACCACCACGCGAAATAAAATAGCTAGCAGCCCAGTGCCGAGAGAATACCCAACAACCTCTCGGCAATCGTCAAAAGACGAAATGCTCGTAAAGATGGGTGCTGACCATGTTGATCGTGCTCTCCCAAAATGGCCCAGCGGAAACCAAGCCCAAGGGAGAGGGTGTATGCGTGCGCAGAGGCTTACTAGAAAAGGTTCCAATAATTGTCGTACTTCGTCTAAAGAAACTGCCCTCTTGGTATATCCCAAAGGCGCTCGAAATCCATAGCACTGTGGAAGAAGCGAGAGGTCTGAACGACGCCACCTCGCCGCGGAGCAAGCGTGTCGAAGGTCCGCTCTCATTTCTGACAAACACCCTGAGATGGCGCAGCATGACAGGAGCTCGAGGAAGCGCCCTGATTCGCGCGCATGTCTTCAAGGGCACGTGCCACGCGACCGAGCTCGTGCACGGAGGGGCAGTGTTGCATCCAAGCTGCACTGCAGGAAGTGACCTTCGCTTCCGCAGGAGTTTCGGAGGCGCGGATGGCGTGGCTGTGAGGCGGCGTGCGGAGCTGAAAAGATAAAGTGCGGCGATACGCCGCGCGTGCGTCGCCGTCCGGTCATTTGCGTCTTGTTTCTTTCTATGCCGTCGGCAGAACGTAGTAAACGACGAAAACGTCGTCCCTTCGCGAGCCGTAGCTGTGCGTTGTTTTCTATGTCCGAGGCGCCCGGATACGCCAATCGCGTATCACTCCGCGAGCGCCATAGACGCGAGCACGCGATCGTCATCCGTGTCGTCTGCTTCCCAGACTTTTGAAATATATTTCAAAACGTCGCTCGCGTTATAAAACGACGCGATTGTACTCTACCCAGTGGCTACATATAACGTTAAATGGTCGAGGAACATTCCAGTTCGTTCGATTCTAGTGTAGGATGTATATTTTTCGCAAACGCAAATTAGGAAACATGCTCCGTCCGAAACTTGGCTCCTGCAAGGTCGCATTCCCGCCTAAAGTTTGAATCTAGCTCAGCGCACGTGAACGCTTCTCCACTAATACGGAGTTGCCGGAGAAAGGAGCATACACGCGATACTCTCTGCAAACAGTGGCCCCAGCCAGACAGTGTTCCTGCCGGGAGATCACCTAGAGAAATTTCGACCCTCTTTCTGGACTTGTTCCGGTATCGCTCTCTTCTTCCACCGTTGTGCAGAGCGTTCATAGACCCGCTGTGACATCGTGGTGCTTCCTGACGTTACGGTGTTGCATGATCGTGTCACGTAACACGATGATTTCACAATGTCATGCGACTTCATGGTGTCCCTTGACGTCAAAGGGGCACGGGACGTCTCGATGTCACATGACGGTCGTCATGCTGACGGCTTTACCTGAACATTGTGACGTCATCATCGTGATGTCACCATGAAGGCTACACAATCAGGCTTGGGGACTTGACAACTTTAAATATTGTTATTCACCAGTATCTAACATTTCCTTTGTAACATTCACTTAGGTACGATCTAAGCGAATCCCAAACTCGTTATACTGACGACGATAAAATTGGTGAGTTAAAAATTGTTTTTACCTAGTTAATATACGGACCAATGAGCCAAGAAAATGAGAGAGAGCAGGAGACGAGAGAGAGCGGGTACGCGAGAACGCCGAGCTGTGATTGGAAGGATTAGTGGGTAGACGTAAAGCTCGCTGCCTTTGTCTCCACTGCACGCGTCGAACGCGTCCGAGTGCGAGAGTCAAACACTGGACACAGGCGTTCCGCGTACTGACGCCTTCCGCGAGTGCACTGGAGACAAATGCAGCAAGCGTAAGGTCTACCCACTAATCCGTCCAATCAGAGCTCGGCATCCTGACGTCCCCTCTCGTCTCCTCCTCTCCCTCACTTTCTCGGCGCAAAGTCCCTTTTCATAATGTCCGCGCCAATCCCTGTCCGCCATTGCTTGCACACATCCTCTGAGCAAGGTATTGGACACGAGGTCTGCGTCAGCGTTCGGCGTGAACTCGGCTCAGCTCGTATTGAAAAGGAGTATTTACGTCATCGCTCGGCGCAGACTCGGATCCAATCACGCGCTTCGTGGCCAAGCAATAGCGACCGCCAATGTTGCTCGATGGACTTTTAAAAAGAGTCTACTTCAGTTGTATAGTCACTGCAAACTTAAGAAGCCAGCTGTGTGGCGCACTACCTGTTGTATGGGTGACACAATAAGCGGGCAACAGCTAGCGCGCGCTCGTGCGTCTCGCGCCACTGTTCCGGGGCGCCATATCTATCTGAGCCAGCGCACCGTTTGCACCACCCGCTGCTATCCTGCCGCTCTCTCACGCCCGTGACTATGTGTCGTACTCCGGTAGTCCTGCAATAAAGATGTGCCAGCGAAGAACCCCATCGGCCTGTTACTCCAGATACCACACAGTGGCGACGAGGACACGGATTTCGCTGCTACAACGGGATGCAGAGACCGTCGGACGACTCAGCAACTGAGGGCCTTTCAACTGATGTTCCAGTATCTGGCATCTTGAATCAAGGACCAGAGGACCGGAAGGCAGTCACGATGGCCTTATTCGGGCAAGTCGAACCTTTTGATGACACGAAGTGTGATTGGTTATCCTACGAGGAAAGGTTGCGAGCCTTTTTGAGAGCGAACGGGGTAGCGGACGCAAACCGAGTTGACGTGGTCATAAGCCTCATAGGAGCTGACACGTATAAGTTGCTCAAGACTCTAGTAGCGCCTGAGGACCCGGCATTGAAGAGTTTTGAAGATGTGCTGGCCGTTTTGCGAAACCACTTGTCGCCGAGGCCGTCGGTCATCGCAGAAAGGGCAACGTTCCATAAGAGAGAACAACAGGAAGGGGAATCGGTCGGAAAATATGTCGCCGAGCTCAAAAGAATGACACAGACGTGCAATTTTGGAAGTAACCTGGAAGAAACCCTCAGAGACAGATTCGTCAGCGGTCTGAGTCGTGTTGACATTCAGAGAGTTTTGTTTGCCGAAGATGAGAGCCTGACATTCAAGAAAGCTGTGGAAAAAGCGTTAACTATTGAAAGAGCCACCATGAATGTGCAGGCGTGTCATAATAAGGCGGACAACGACCAACTCGAACTGCAGAAACTGACGGCGGTGAAACCGAAAGCGGTAGTGGGGGCTCAGGACAAATGTTTCCGTTGTGGGTCCCCTAAGCACATTGCCTCGTCATGCCCGCACCGTAACGCTATTTGTTATCGCTGCAACCGTGAGGGTCACTTCCAACGTTTCTGTAAAGCATCACTGGCCAATACACCAGGCAGAGCAAAACAGTTCAGAAACTTCTCCGCTGAGGAAGAAAAGAGTGAAGCGATATACGGGCTTCAAGACAGAAACATGAATGCGCCGTTCTACTACACGCTCAAGGTCGGGAACGCTCCTCTTCAGATGGAACTAGACACCGGTGCTGCCGTGTCTATCATTTCGAAACGCCAGTTCCAATCGTTGTTTCCTCGCACAGAGCTGTCTCCGGCGTCACTAATACTGCGCACGTACACCGGCGAGCGTGTCAAGCCAAAAGGAGTGGCGACGGTGGACGTAGAGTACCGAGACTTCAAAGGAAAACTTCCGCTTCACGTACTGGGAGAAGATGGGCCACCTTTGATTGGCAAAGACTGGGTCTACAAGCTCAAGTTTGACTTGGGATCGCTAAACGCGGTCAGCGTTGATGTAAAAGCGTCTCTCCAAGACATCCTAATACGCTACCAGGATGTGTTCAAGGACGAGCTCGGATGCATGCGAGGGGAAGAGGCTCGGCTAAGCTTAAGGGAAGGTGCGAGTCCAAAGTTTCTGAAAGCTAGAAGTATGCCGTTCGCCCTGAAGCCAGCTGTAGAAGAAGAGCTTAAGAGACTGGAGGTGACAGGTGTCATTGAAGCGGTGGCCCATAGTGACTACGCTACACCAGTTGTCCCGGTTTTGAAGAAGGATGGGTCTGTACGCCTTTGCGGGGACTACAAAACAACGGTAAACCCTTGCCTGGACGTGGAGCAGTACCCGTTGCCAAGGTTGGAAGATTTTCTAGCAACGGTAGCTGGGGCGACTGTTTTCTCGAAAATAGACTTAAGTCGTGCATACCAGCAAGTTCCGGTCCACCCTGAGTCACAACCCTATCTGACAATCAACACGCACAAGGGTCTCTTCCGCGTCAAGCGTTTGGCGTTTGGGATCGCTTCAGCTCCAGCACTGTTTCAAAAGATAATGGACAGCTTGCTGGCGGGAATTCAAGGAGTAACCTGCTATCTCGACGATATCCTGGTAACAGGGAAGACCGCCGGGGATCACCTGAAGAATTTGGAGCAAGTCCTAAAGAAACTGAGTGACAAGGGCGTCCGAGTCAAGAAAGAAAAGTGTGAGTTCTTGAAGGCAAGTTTGAAGTTCCTGGGGCACCAAGTCGGCGAGCAAGGGGTAGCTGTGTTGGCAGAAAATGTGCAAGCGATCCTCGATGCACCTCAACCGCAAGACTCAAAACAGTTACGGTCGTTTTTGGGAATGGTGACATTCTACGGAAAGTTCCTCCCAGACCTCTCGACCACAATAGCACCGCTGAACGAGCTACTAAGAAAAGATGTCGTCTGGACCTGGAGCAAGCGCTGTCAAGACGCTTTTAACATGGTGAAGAGGCTTCTGGTTGACGCACCTGTCCTGGCACACTACGACCCCAAGGCAGACCTTCAGGTGTCATGTGATGCCTCGGCATACGGTCTCGGAGCCGTCCTGTCCAGGGTGTACTCCAACGGCGACACACGGCCTATCGCGTTTGCGTCGAGAACCTTGACATCGAGTGAAAAGAACTACAGCCAACTAGAAAAGGAGGCACTGGCTATTGTGTTTGGCGTGAAGAAATTTCACATCTACTTGTTTGGACGATCCTTCGTCTTGGTCACTGATCACGAACCGTTGCAAACCATTCTTGGTCCAAAGACGGGAATTCCGAGCATTGCTACCGCACGTCTGCAGAGATGGGCTATTACCCTTTCCGCCTATCAGTACCGATTGGTTTACCGACCGGGTCGACTCAACGTGGAGGCGGACTGCTTGTCACGACTTCCAGTTCCTGGGTTTCAGGATGAAGACTACGAGGATGACGTCGCGGCGTTTCTCAGTCTCCGCCTGCAGTCTTTTCCGGTAAGCAGCCAAGAGATCGCACAATTTACAGCAAAAGATAAAGAGCTCTGTCAAGTGGCAAGGTTCCTTGCCGGTGCGTGGCCCGCAAAAGTAGAAGATTGTCTGAAGCGTTACTCTGCAAGAAGAAGCGAGCTGACGTGGCACCAGAATTGCCTTTTGTGGGGAATGAGGGTTGTGATCCCGGAGGGACTGCGCGAACGCGTACTGGACGAGCTGCATGAAGGGCATCCTGGAATCGTAAGGATGAAAGAACTGGCACGCAGCTATGTATGGTGGCCGGAGGTCGATGCGGATATTGAATATCGCGTCAGGTCGTGTGATACCTGCCAACAGCAGCAGAGTCTTCCAGGTCCAGCCCCGCTGCATCCGTGGTCCTGGCCAACTCGTCCGTGGCAAAGGCTGCACTTGGATTTTGCGGGACCTTTCCAGGGCCGTCATTTTCTGGTGAGCGTCGACTCCCACTCCAAGTGGCCCGAGGTTTTTGTGATGAACAGCACATCGGCCGAAGCAACTATTGAAAAGCTGAGGGAGCTGTTTAGTCATTTCGGTCTGCCAGATGTTGTTGTCAGTGACAGTGGCCCCCAATTTTGTTCCCAAGAATTTCAGATTTTCTTGCGAGAGAACGGTGTGAGGCACGTCAGGACCGCCCCCTACCATCCATCAAGTAATGGGCTGGCTGAGCGTTTCATCCGCACCCTGAAGGAGGCCTTACGAAAAGAGATGCCGGGCCGGCCTCTGTCCCGTCGACTAGCAAGTTTCTTGTTAGCTTACAGAAACACACCGCACGCCACAACCCTTCAGAGTCCTGCGGAGTTGCTGCTTGGGCGGCGGCTCACTACCCGTCTCGACAGACTGCGACCCTCTGCAGAGGAAACTGTTCACCGCAAGCAGGACGTGCTACAGGTGAAGCACAGTGGCAAACACCGACACTTCGTGCCGGGTGATAAGGTGTACGTCAAGAACTTCCGGCCGGGTGAGAGGTGGTTGCACGGAGTCGTCATGGCTAGATCCGGACCGGTCTCCTACAGGCTTCGCGTGACCACACCGCGGGGGACCTTCGTGTGGCGGCGACACCAAGACCACCTGCGGTTGCGGGAGAGCTCTACCCCAGAGGAGGAGGAAGGTGGTTTGCTGATACCGAGTGTCCTGCCATCATCGCCAACCCCAGGGCAAGGGGGACTCGTGAACGAGCTGCCTCCAGTTGGGTCACCGGTGGTAGAGGGACAAGACATGGGATCAACTCCAGTCTCCGGTCGTTCCCCAGCCCAGCCGCAAGAAATTCAGCGCCGGTATCCCGAACGGCAACGGCGTGCGCCCAATAGGTTTTCGCCTTGAGAAGGAAGAGAAAAAGACGAGGACTTTGTGTTTTTTCAGAACTGTAATTATTTTGTATTTAGTATGTCTGTACTTTGTACTTTCCAGAACTTCAATTATTCTCGTGTTTTGTTAAATTGTCATATCGTGTTACTTTGTGAGTATTGCACTGGAACGCCGTCGAATGGTATTACTGTGCTGAACTAAGTGTGGGGGAGTGTTGTATGGGTGACACAATAAGCGGGCAACAGCTAGCGCGCGCTCGTGCGTCTCGCGCCACTGTTCCGGGGCGCCATATCTATCTGAGCCAGCGCACCGTTTGCACCACCCGCTGCTATCCTGCCGCTCTCTCACGCCCGTGACTATGTGTCGTACTCCGGTAGTCCTGCAATAAAGATGTGCCAGCGAAGAACCCCATCGGCCTGTTACTCCAGATACCACACTACCCTCCCGCCTCCCGCCTTTTAAATATTTTAAAAAGAAATTGGTGTTTTCATTTGCTTGGTTTGAACTGATTTTGTATTTTCTGATGCAATGGTTGTTTAATCGGTGTTTTGTTGTTGTTATTGTTGCTTTTCACATTCTAATTTGTATTTTTTGCACCGACGAATCGGTGGTCTTGGGTTAAATCTGAAAGTCTATGGTCTATACGTAATCCGACGTTTCAAACGGGAGTATACGGGCGTGGCCTTCAAACGGGTTCAAACGGATTCAAACGGGTATGGCCTTCAACCTCTTCTTATATCATCCAAAATCGAAACTGACAGTTTGGTGGTCGTGGCATGGGATCACAAAAAGTAACATTCGCAACGTCGTGTACCTTGTTCCATTCAATTGCTTGCCCTGTGAACGCTTCTTTGGAGGTTCCTGTAGTGTTTTCGCTCCAAAGGTATTAGCGCCGAGATGTCTCGGTGGCGCCCTCTTATGGTTTCCCTCCGTGACGTCACGACTGGGATTTGCCTCGCCGTGACGTCTCCAGTTGTTATTCTGGCTATTTATCATGGGGGCGACGACGGGTTCGATAGTGTGTTTAAAAAGCACAGTAGAAGCTAGGAGCCATCATAATCCGAAACTAACACCGTCAAAGTTGACAATCTGACAGTGCTCAATGCCCATGGTTTGGCCAATCGTGAAAAGTTGACCACAGCGACGCTTTTGGCCGCGCACATCGCTAATAGCCCAAGACGCACGTGGCTATCAGTTATCGCGCTGTTCTGTCTGCTTCGAGATGACTAGCCGTAGGGGTGCTGCGCACGGCTATCGTCATGTGACTTGACATGTGTGTATATATGTGGGTGTGGCAATAAACGGGACACTTCTTGGTCTGAGCCCCAAGCTGCAAGTATTGCGTTCATTCCGGCCGCAAACGCGACAGCTTCTTCGACTTTCAGGTTTTTAAGCACTTTTGGTTAGATGTTCGTGACGTTTGTTATCACGGTTCTGTCTACTTCGACCCACAGGGTATGCTCAACTAAGAGGCGTGTGCACCAAATTTAAGTACGCCTATGTAAAGGATGGTGGCTACTACGAAGGAGTGGAAGTGGCAGCAGTACTTTCTGCAAGACTGTGAGTTATTTGAACCTGCTTTCCATTGTGTGACATAGAACAAACGTCACTGGTAGAAACGTCAAATACCTCTAAACCCCTAGTCTTCAGAGTCACCAGTTTAGACCACAGCAGAACGTGTTAATGAACAAGCAGCCCCGCTTATCATTGCATGCAGATTAAGAACGGGGCTGTTTTTGCGGTGCTTCTCTGCGTACTGCGTCAAAACGCAATACCATTTCGACGTTTTTATTGATATGACGGCCATATTAAGATGATTTATTTGAAACCAGCCTTGTCTCTTCTTTTAGCCCATGGTTGTAGTAGAAAGAGCCCACCACGTTTTTCGGTACATAGCTCTTGCGAGGCCTCGTGAAGACGACCCTTGTCTTGGGAGGCATTGCGAAGATGACTGGAACACTTTTAGCAAACTTGAGTCTTCTATCATAGGATTGATGAATGGCTTTGGCAGCACCTTTTGTATCAAGCTGCAGCTTGCGCCATCTAGCTTAGAAACATTTACAACCTTCGATCCCTTTCAAGCTTTTTTTTATAAATTACGCATCGTGTTAAGTTATCTACCTCATCGATTTTGAGTATTATCACGCTTCTCTGGGCCTTCTCCGCCAATATTATAGCCTACTTTTTACAGCGTAGCTGTTAAGGGCTAGGTGTCGTGTCCGGTATGTCGACACAAACCTGCCTTGACAGCTACCTTCATCTATAAGCGACGGCGGCAAGCACACAACCAGTATGGTTTCCGCCGTCACTCGTAGATGGCGACAACCTTTCCAGCTATAATAGAATAATGGATAGTTGGGCGCGTTGGTGGGAATTCATCGTAGGAAAACAGTGTATCGAGTACTGCTCCGCTGGTCTTCCTTCTTCCCGAGACTAAAAAAGCTGTTTTTAGATTTTTTTTTTTGTCCTCGCTAACACAACCAGTATACACTCACCAGAGCCGGCACGCCTTTAGGGAGGGCAGGACAAAGTCCCGTGCACGTCAAAAACAAATGTCCATGCGTCTCGCTGTTACTAGGGCAGACGGCACATCTCCTGAAATGGAGCCCCATATGGCTTTGTCCTTGACTCACGGTCTCGCCTCAAACAGTGAAGAGAATTCCCGTGAATTATCAAACACCTGCTCTTTTCTTATGCCCACGGTGCTTATGTCTTATTTTTGTGTCTTGTACATCGCGCATTGATCAGGTTGATTCTTTTTTGCATTCTCTCCTCTCACATTTTTATTTTTACTTTCTTTTTCACTCTCTCTTCCGATGAACTAATCTTTTCAGCCCCATCACTAGTGTGTGGGTATTTAAATGTCAGCTTTCGCGATATCATTTAATATCGCATTAAAAAGAATCGTGTACTTTATAAGCGATTGACATGGAACGAGCAAAGCAGTCAAGCTTCAAATTGTGATCTGGATGCTGTGGGCGGAAAATGGTCTGTTGGGGAACCAGCCTGACAACCATGGACATACCCTAGCGACGGGATGGTGGGTGAGAAGGGTATATAAGCATTTACATATGCAAAGTCTGAACACTAAATGGACACACTAAACCCGAAAGCTAAAATTTAAGTATTACCAACAGGTGAGTGTTGGGTTAGAGCTGACAACCTCTGCGGAAAAGGATATAAAAGAAGCCGAGAGTAAGATGTGAGATGCAAGAATGCAGAAAAAGTCAGCTCTGATCGTGTAAAGGCATAGCCTCCTTTATAATGACGATGCCTGCCCGCGCTATGACTTGCTCGTGCGTGCTTCGGCGCCGTTGTGCCTGCTTCACATAATCGCCGCCAGGAGCAGCACCTCCTCATAAAATGAGGACAATGCCTTATAAGGTAGACGAACAAGGCGCTGGACAGGAACAAGAAGGTAGACGAACAAGATTCTTGTTCTTGTCCGTGTGCTTGCGCTGTTTTAATTTTTAATCATGAAATACCAACTAGCCCAAACTTATACGTTAGTCAGCCTTTACATGTTCCCCAAGGATCCTTATTTATGAAGTCAGTCGATTGCGAGCATGAATCACGAGGGCTTTGCATGTTACTCATTGTCACGTGTATGCTCACGACTACTTAGTCCAAGGCAAGCGAACCGATTCCAACCAGGTGTCGGTGCTCCGATTAGGTTATCGCTGCAATGTATGTTTTTACGCCATGGTACGTGAAGGGTATGGAAACGTCTACGTGCCGCCACTCAAGATGCAGCTATCAAATGCCGAGAGCTTACCAACATAGACTATATTTAACTGCTCATAATTTTCTTTCTTTGTGAAACTTCAATTAAAACACTTCGCCGCCTTCGTCCTCGTTCTTTCGAGGAAGTAAAGTGATAATCTGTCAATAGACAGCTCGATTCAACCGGCCAAGTTGCGACCAATTTCCAGCCAAGTTATTGTAGACCACTATAGCCAAGTCTAGCCACGTTCCCCCCTATCCACCAAAGATTATCCTTGCAATATCCCACACTGCCTGGTAATAGCTACAAAAATATAGAGGGGTTTGGGGAGAGTTGGCTTAGAAGGACAAGGGGTGGAATCATACTTTTTTTTTTTTTCCAGGCTGGGTGGCGCAAGCTATCGCCCCGTTAGAAAGGCTGCAACCGTTCGCAACTATTCATTCAGCCAAGGCTCGGTTAACCTTTGTTCGAATATAAATCTAAAGAAAGGTTTACTTAAATGGACGATAATCGGTAGGCGAGGAAAGTATTCGAGTATTTATGTATGAAAAGTTTAAGAACAAAGCGGACAAATTAAACCTGAAAGCTGGCATTTAAACACTACTGAAGATACAAAGCAGACTAGTTCAGTGGAAAAGGGAGTAAAATAGGCAGAAATAAAAATTTGGGAGGGAGGAATGCAAGGAGAATAAGCTTTAACAATAGACAGGTCACGAAAACAGTACGTAAGAAAAGAAAACGTGTTTGATAATCCAGGTGGAAAAACTTTGCTGTTCGAGGTGAGATCGGGAATGTTAATGAAAAAGTCATACTAGGCTAAATTCCAAGTGATCAAGTGATACACAACACATTATATGCCCTACCCCTTAGTGAGACCGAGATGCTAGAACACTTGATTTTGAAGTGCACGGGGTTTCGCCCCGCCATTTCACAAGGAGTGACGGATTTGGCGGGAGCGTTGGGTTTTGCTGGCGGGAGTGGAAGAACTGACGATAAATTTGTTACAGTCACAAAGAGGAAGTTAGAAGATTGGTGAAAATTACCTAGGGAAAATTGGATAACGTAAAACTAAACAGCGCAGGTATAGGGCACAGTCGGGAGAGTGGAAAATGGGGACTCCCTCCCGCGTGGCTCCGGCACACCAAAGTCCGGTGTTGGGGTGACGCCGTCAAAGTTTGACCAGAGCAAATTTGGCGACTCCATCGCCGGAGGAGGGGGGGGGGGAGGAGGCGGGGGAGGGGGGATTGATTTAGTTATTTTACCCGATCCTTCGAAGGCCGTCATAGCCATCACCCTCATGGTCTCGTGGTAGTAGCAGAAATGCTTTGGCTTAGGAGGGAATCATTTATGTTTTCTTTTTAGTTTCTAGGCTTGGTAGAGCAAGCTAGTGCCCTTTAGGGAGGCGCTCAGAGGCTTTGCAAACGTGTATGAGACAAGAAAACAGAAAACGTATCTTGCCTTGCCTTCATTAGTGAGTTTCGAAGGGAAGAAAAGGGATGTTTCCTGTTGTCTTGTTTCGTTCTCGACCTTTGTTTTTATTTATTATTGCATATTCCAACATGCTCTCGATCTTGCGGTAGTATATATGCAGAGATTTACAAATTACTAAAACAGAGCGTTTCGTTGTTAAAAGTAAAGCGAGTAAAGCAAGCTCGCATAACCGCAATAGTAATTGAGTAAATTGCTAACTAAGGCATAAAGCGAGCTATTACTTCCAAAATTTGCTCTTATGTTTGTGACGGGAAAGAATTCAGTGTGAGGCTAGCAAATCTTTCGATGAAGAATTTTTATAGTAGACAGATTTATTGCAGATAGTTAAAGCTGCGCGCAAACTCAAACGTGTCTTCGTCTCGCAGGCTAGGTGCGGAGTATGACGGAAGATTGGATGCTGCACCGTGCCCTAACTTCGCCGGGTTTTTTATGGGCACCGAACAAATTTTTGTGCCGTTCGCATTTTCTAATTGTTCAAGAGATTTAATCCTCAAGAATCTTGGAATACGGTAATTGTATGCAAGAATTCTGCTCAACGGGTGAAATAGAATTAGGCGACACGCAAAAAGAAGTTTTTTTTTTTTTTTTTTTTTTTTTTTTCGGGCAAACTCATACCAATACACCTTTCAACGAGGGCAGAGCCATCTTGAATGTAGTCCCTTCTGGTGTGCGTTAAAACAGTTTAATCTCTCCACGCCGGCTGAGATTTTTTTTTTTTTTTTAATTTGTAAAAGTCGCACATTCTTGTTTTGCCTAACTAATATTTTCTCGGATATTCTACGTTGTAATGCCTCATTATTTCTTCGTCTTGCATACCAGATAAGGAACCTACGTGACTAAGAACAAAAGAAAACGAAATACAAAAATGTTTTTGCGGGCATTTACACGCAGGTGATCCACCTGTATGTGGATCACTTGCGTGTTTAGTTTTAGTCCTTGTAAGATAACTTTAATCGATTGGTGTTTACTTTTGTTTTTCAATGCTGCGATCGCAGGGTTGTTCAAACAGGACAAGGTTTCTGCAGTCACAGCATCCGCAACAGATGTGGAGGCCCTCCTCCAGTTTTGTGTCTTTTTCTTTTACTTTTTTTTTTTTGTTTTGTGTTTTCTTGAGAACGTTTTTTTTTTTTTTTTTTTTTTTTTTTGTTTATTACGAGTGTCCAGGCAGCCACTCTCAAGCTTTGCTGGCTGTTGTGGATGCTTCCGCTGTTGTTGACGGTCCCCAAGAAAGGGGAAGAGACGAGTGCGAGGAGTTGACGAAAAAGTCGGGCTGTTTGTGCGGTTAATGTTCAAGCTGAAAACGGACGCGCGCTCCGCAACTTTCACGTCGTCAAAAAAAAATATCTGTTTTTTTTGTTTTGTTTGTGTGACAGCATTAGCCGTGTACCGTCTGGACGAAACGAAAATCAAAATATCCGGAAATTTTTCTGAAATGGGTGAAATATGACCCACGATATTCGTAAATGACAGTCGCACGTTCGTATTTTGAGCAGATGGCTACAGTTTTCGTTTCAAGCGCCCGATCCTAGCCAGCGCTTCGAAATCGGCCATCGAGGCTTGCGAAGCGTCTCGGGAACTCCGTCGCAATCCCGACGTCAGGCTCCTCAGCACAGACAAAGGCTGGCGTGATTATGAGCGCCGCCACGCCGTTGGTTTTTGTGTGCTACAATCTCGCGTTTTCGGAGCGGCGGAGGACTGCATATAGACGCTTTCAGCGAATCAGTTACTCGAGCTGCGACCATTCGGCGTGCCCTCCGCGCACTTTCCGGGCGGCCATAGCCGACCACGGCGAGGAACTGAAGGTCGGCTATGGCGGCAGGGTCACGTGACGTCAAGATGGCGGCGCCCATGAAATGTTGCCTGAAAGGGTGTATAGCGGCACGACGACCGTCGTGAAGCATTCATTTCGGCCCTTGCAGTCCTCGATGCGTTTTGCCATGATATATGAACTCGAGAGGACGAGGATTTCGACTGCCAGGGAGCTTGGAAGATGCCAGCGAGGACGAGTAGTCAATCTCGCGCGTGGTGACGGACAGGCGACTCGGGCTAGAACCGTACGAACCACCCGACAGACCGACTGTCCGCCCGAAAAACATCTAAAGGGCGTCGAGGGCACCAAAAAAGGCCCCATTTTTATTAACGATTGTCGAACTTGGAGGTATGCGCTATTATGTGTTTTATTACTAGCGTGCTCACTTACGAGGTTGCTTCGCTTTTTGTGCGGTTCGTTTTCTTTTCTTAGAAAAAAAAAAGTAGTTGGCGCAATCCCTGGTAGCAACCAAACATTCTTGGTAGGAAAACCAAAAGACACCTGAGAACAGTGTGTCGCCTTTCATAGTCCTCATCACGAAAATGGTCACTTTACATGCGATCGGATTTAACAGGCGCGAGACGGATCCACACGCTTCGGAATTTCTCATCGTCTGGAAATCCGTGGGTCGGCGCCTCGCAGTTCAGCACGCTGTTGCTGCAGCCCTCTGCTGCGCAATACCGAGTTATCCTGCACGCAAACGTGATGAATAAACAGAGAAACATCTCGGCTGTACCCAAACTATGGTGCCACGAACGCTGTGTATCTACCATGTAGCGTTCAAAAGTCTAAGGAACTTGAAAATATATTTTTAGAGTGTGCTGGCTAATGAGGGTCATAGGAAAACCCATACAGCCTTCTTTAGCAGACAATATAAATGGCTAAAAACACCAGAGGAAAAGCAATAGGCAGCTATAGCATGCTGGCTACAGAGAGCCAGACATTAGAAAAGCCGAAAAGCGCTATGACTGGACAGTGATAGGGCCGTAGACAAAGCTAAGGAGGCCTATAAAGACGACCATAAAAAAATTCTAAAGACAGCCTTAGAAAATGCTTTAGCTAATTGGGCCAAATAGCTAAAGGCGACCATACAAATAATTTTCAATAGCCATCCATGACATTTTTGTATGGACGTAGCTTTTAAGGTTGTGCACATGATCGTCTTACTGATGATATGCTTGAAATAAACATTATTATCTCGAATGGTACGCGATGTTTTTTCAAAAAAAAAAGAAAACGAGTTTCTCAGTTTTATTTTTACAGACCGCGCAGTCAGGGGAAAAGCGGTTGTAGCAGGTTGCCACAAAAAATTCTCCCTTATCTCTACATAGCAAAACCTCCTGAGAGAGAGATTTACTGGAATGGACCGTTATTCGACCCCGCCATTGTTTGGGAACGTAGGCGTGCATTGGACACGAGGGCTGCTTCGGCGTTCGGAGTGAACTCGGCCCAGTTCGTATCGAGAGCGAGTGCGTTCGGCAAGGACTCGGATCTAATCAGGCGTTCCCCTGCCCGAGAAATGGGGAGCGCCAGTGTTGCTTCATATGGTTTTCAAAAAGATCTATTTGACGAGGTTTTGGAGGCCGTATGTTTTTGTCGTTTCGCTTTTGAGTTTCCGTTTGACGTTTTTAAGCAAGATACCCTTTACAGCGCAATACACTGAAAGTATACTAATTTGACACTTCTGTAGAACAGTTTTCAAAGTGTACTTGAGGCATGATTTTAGATCATGAATCACCTTAGTTACCAGGCTGGGCCGACGCCTGGACCGCAACGCTCAAATACGAAGTATACAAAAATAATTTAGAAGTATATACTTCGCTGATCTCTACTTAGAAGGCTGGACGGCGCTTAGCCGCGCTCCGAGCCTGGCACGAGCAAAGTCAGCGGACGTGAGATGCTTGTCCCGGAAGTTGAGTGCCTGCTGGGGTTTACGCCGCATTTAGTCGATGTTTTAGTTCACGCTTTTTTTTTAAATCTTGCCTGGGTTTTAATAACCCCTTTCACCATTTAATCCCGAGAATGAGGCATTTGAACGTGGGGCATGCACACTTGCTCAACTAGAATCTCGAAATTCTCCCACATCGAATGGCTTCCCAGAAGACTTCTCGAGCCTGCATGATCTGTTATTGCGCAAAAGGCAGGTTCTCTTGTGAGAACAAAAGCAAATCCAACGCCTTGGACACTATTTGTACAAACGCTTGAAAGAGTTGGAAAGATTGACAAGCGCTCACTTCCGGGACAAGCCGCTTACTTCCGGCGGTTTCATAACTGTTTACTCAATGCTCCATTCAGCACCCTAGTGCAGATCAGCGGTATAGTTCAGCTAATGAAGGCATGCTTGACATATGCTTTAAGTCTACCCATTTGTTTCATAAAAATACAATATCGGTACGCGTTTCTGTATTGCTTTTTTTACCAAAAGTATACTCTCGCTATAGACGTAGCCTACCCTAAAAGATATTCGGATTGAAATATCCTATCAGCGTGCAGATTGCTTTTCTTGCGCATGGCAAGGTTGCTGAGGCAATCGGAACTGATTTTTCTATTTGTAACATTATATCCCGACTCCGTGCAGCATGGGCGGCAACTGTCTTAACCCTAATTACGCGAGGCCAGCAGTCTTCGGGAGAAAAAAATTAATTGGTGTGGGACTAACGCCGGATGAAGTCTGCTCGTACCATGATCCGGCATGGAAATACTGTCACACGGTAAGTGTTTTTATATCTTCAATATCTTAAGACGGCCATAAAACAGAAAGTAGTTGCGATGAGTGTACACGTTCAGACAGCCGGAAGTCAGTCAGCCCCAATGACCGTCTAGTGTCTCAGCTGTTGAGAAATTTAGCCGATGCTAATCGAAGAGCAAGTCGTCTGCTTCCTGCGCGGGAGTTGCAGTGACGTCAGAACCAAGCCGAGTTCTGATTGGCTTTGATTGTAAGGATAGCGGGTCCCTAGTGAAAAAGCCATTTTTATGAGAAATTTCTTGTGCCCAATAAACACACATGAATTATACAAGATACATAAGAACATATAAGAACCATAAAAGACCTATATAAGATATATAAGGACGTACAGGGTGTTTCAGAAAACGCAGGCCAAATCGCTCCTGCGAAAACACGACAACGATGACGACACTATGACTGTCACACTCTCTCTTTTATTTTCTTCATTTTTTCTCTTCTTTTATCCTTTTCTCCCCCTCCCTCCTCAACAATGACCTACGGGCCTGCATGGTCGCGTAACCCATCGTTGTTTTCTATAAAATAAGTAAAGTAAAGCTAAACAACAAGCGTGTTTCACATGCAGCTGTTTTGGCCCTAGATCTCTGGCCAGCACCAGCGGTTGAGCGGCACGAGCTCCGCGACGGCAGAAATCGCGCCGCTCTAGGGCCAAAATCGTTGCATGTGAAACACGCTTGAGCCTGCGCATAGCCTGCGTCTATCGTGGCAAGCCCACTTTTCCGCCCGCAACTTTGCGAATGCGCATTAATATTTGTTACAGATATTTGATATCTACGGAGTAAAGCAGTAAAACAGTCGTAGCATTTTACCTGATTGATAGGAACAGCTCTTGACTATTAGGCCAGTCTTACGTTTTGCGGTACCACGACGCGGGGCGAACTTTCTGTCACACGGGGGGTCGTTCAGCGGATCATCAGGGCTGCCATCTTCTCGAGCCGGTACTTTCGGTTTTGCAGGAGGCCCCCGAAACAAATCTTTGAGATATCTACAGATCTACACAAACCGCTGAAAACAAAACAAAACAAAAAAACATTTCGTAATTTAGGGACATTTTTTTTACGAAAAACAGTCGTAACCCTAAAATCTGTCATTTGTAGGAGTACAGCCTCCTGCCCTCTACGTGTACAGTGGACTGCTGTGAGTGGAACGGCCCTTCAAAAACAAAAACGATGACCCTTTTCGGTTTCGACGGAATGTCTTGCCGTTCTTTCTTCGACACGTATCACACTGTTGGCGTGAGTTACAACGCTTTTTTACATTATAACTTCTCATTTTGTGTAAGGAATTTGACGATCCCACACATTGGAGTGGCAAATTTGCGTGGGAATAGTTAAACCGCCGAATGTATCATTCAGGACTTGGCGCAATCTGTCGTGTTGAGCCGTGGTCATGCTGCCAGTAAATCATATAAACGACAGACATGCGGGCACTCTGGAGTCCTAGGGGAACCATTTTTGCACATCCGATACGGTACGACAGGAACTCCGGTACAAACTGCGCATGTGCGAGTCTTCTGTGGTGGCGCATGCGCAGTGCGTACCAAAGGACCCATCATACCGTATCCGATGTGCAAAAACGATTCCCTAGAACTCCCTATTGTCCGATTCGGGTTTCTTCCCCCTTATGCCGGTCCTGTCACATTGCTCACTCGAAAACTGCCTGGAGGCATGTTCGAAGCACACAGATATATGAAGTAAACATGATTAACATGATTAGAACATTCTTGAGGCGTTTCCGCAGATACTTTTGTCGTCGTGTCTGCAAAGAACTCATTGACTTTTGTGTGATGTGCTAGCAGTGTGAATGTGGATTTAGTTATGGTGAATCCCCAATATCTCTTAAGCCTCAATTAGGCTTAGCGCTTAAGCTTTCGTGAAGTTTCATTTCAGCTATGTGCGTTTCGATTTGTCTCGTATTACCTGAGTTCGGATTAGGCGTGTCAGCTCAGCTAAACGATAGCGTGTAAATAAGTTCACTTCGGCCTTGACGTCTGTTACGAGATAAGCCGACAGATGGCGCCATCCCCCAAGGAATGCGGTGGCGTGCGGACCTTTCCCCCACCACAGACCGCGACGGAAGGAAACCGGCGAGCATGGCGGGAGCGGATGCCGTCCACGTTGGAAACTTTTAGCAAACATTAAACTAGTTACGTTCCATGCCACGCCTTTGAAACAGCGTCAGATTGATTTCAAACGTCCCGACTGTTAAAACATCTCGCAATCTATGCTGCTAACTCACGGAACTTCACCAGTGACATTAAAACCAATTGAAAGTTAGAGCGGTATAAGCACCTTGGCATAGAATATTTTAAGAGTAGATACTGAGTTATCTTCAAAGACGGGTATTACTACAACAACAAAGAAATAAAGCTGCATCCAATATAGTTTACCAATTTGCTCCACCTAAATGTTGTTCAAATTTTAAATAATGAAAAATTATCATCTTTATTTTCCTCCAACCATCCGCTAAAATGTCACTCTACCTAATTGCGGACGGCTTCCCCAGTCACAAATAACAGTAACTTAATGCCAGCAAGGCTAATCACTCAAACGATGCAATAATAAAAGATGATAGCTCTTGTGTTCTTCGTGCACTTCACCTCGAAGTCGGTTGTGCCAATATTACCTAGAAGCCAGAGGCCTGCGCCCTCCCCTCCCCCAACACGTCAACACTCGTGGATCCAGGCAGTGCCGTCTAGCTCGCGTCAGCGCTCGCCGCCAACGCGTCTCGCGGCGTCACACGACGAGCGCGACGCTAGCACGCGTCGACGCCAAGGCGGACGCGCGTCTCCTGCGCTGCGAAACTGAGCATGGTAGCCGCTCGAGATATGTTAGGCTTTACAAGTAAAGATGGCTCGAATAGTGAATAAATGAAGGAAGCAGAAAATATGGGGGGAAACCTTCAAGGGGTACTCCGGCCTTTTCTGTCGTGGTCCCTGATTTGCCTAAAAATGTGCTAAACACACTAACAAACGTCGCTAAAATAATATTCCAAATATTAGGGTTGTTTTTTTTTTTTTTTTGCAGGTTGTTGTATTTACAATCTTAATCCTTACCGTTTTTTTTTTGTTTTTTTTTTTCGAATTGAATGTTTTTACCGGCACACACGGCAACAATGAAAAAGTGACGCCACCGGCAGAACTGTAGAATTTGTACTCAACTGATTCCAAGCAGCTTCATGGCGTCAAATGAATCCACTGGAAGCTCACTCCAGCACTCGCGCAGCAGCACAAAACAAATACTCGCCATAGTCTCTTTATATATATATATATATATATATACTGCCTGCTCGACTGGCAAGCGTGCCTGCCACTGATGTCACAAAACTGAAAAGTGCGGGTATATCTGAATGTATCGGTTTTTGCCTCATATTCATTTTCTGATTTCACAAGAACTATTCCAAATTTCGCGATACTGAATTGCACACCGGAAGGGATAAAGGAAGGGTATTCAGATAATATAGTTGGTAGGGGTAGCTCCGAAAAACTGCCCGAATCCCCCTTTTAAAAGCGTATCTGAAAACCAAACAAAAATAGCACCATTTGATGGTGTTTGAGAGAGATTTGGTCATGCTGTGGAAGTAAAAAAGATTCATTTTCTCCTCCCGGTGACGGGTATGCTTTGTAAGACAAAGCAGTTTAGTTCACGCTTAGAGTTGACGTACCTATTTTACCTTAAATCGCGTATTCTTGCACGGCAGCCATATAATTGATGACAGGTTAAAATAGTTCAGGGAATGAAACTCCTCCCACCAACTTCCGCTTTAGCAGTGCGAACGCCGGAGAAGAGGTCGCCTCATCTCCAGCGTTCCATTTACCAAAGTGGAGAGGGGTGGGAAGAGCTTCCACTGAACTCTTAATAGAGTTTATTGGTTTTAAAGGTTTCAATTCAACGAAGGTACTAACGGCACAAAAACAAGGGTATTCTTAGCACACTTTAATATAGATTATTGGGCTGCATTCCTTTCTGCGTGAAAAAAGAGCTAATTGGACGTGAGGAGATAATATATCTGCACTACAGTCATTAATCCGAACTTGCCGCCCGTTTCTGTTCTTTTGCACAGATGTGCATCAATGGATTCTGTGAGAGGTAAGCAGTCGCAAGTTTCACGGCCCGCGTGATGTAGAGGAGGTCGTTCCAAAGAGGGAGTGTCTGACCAATACTAATTATACTTGTTTTTCACTTCAAGAGAAAAGGAAGTTTTGCGCATTGTTCATACGCCGCGCGAAGAAGTTATTGAAATGTTTAATTGTCAGAGGAAGAAGCGATGTTTTTTGGCGTTTGAAACGTGTACGTCTTGATGACATAACGTATATCTAATCTAAAATTCACCTACATCTATCTTAATTCTCTGCATAAAGGGGGAAATTAGTAACGCTCCGCGATGAGCCGGACTTTTTTTTACTACGGTTCTTGAGACAAAAAACTGGTGTAGACAAGGCCTGAGCCTTTTTCCCAAACGTTATTGCTAATGCGGGCCGCAAGTTCAGCTGCTTCTTTTGCGAGGGTTGTAATGACGTCAGAACGTCGAGCTCTGATTGGCTCCGATTGGAAGGATAATGGGTAGACCTCAAAGTAAGCTGCTTTGATGTCTACCCCTTATTCATTATCCCTAAATTTAGGGGCTTCCGTGCGCGTCCTTGGAAAATAAATATAATCATTAGCTGAGCTAGAGATGTTGTCTGCCCCTTTTTTTTCTTCATTTTTCTAACACTAGCAAAATGTCTTTTTTGTGCCCTCTCGAGATAAGCTTGTCATGATGTAGGAAGTGTTCTGAAGCGTGTGTTTGTTGGCGTTTAGGGCCAATGTGCTACGTTGTCAAGGCTAAAGTAGGCTCCGCAGCGCTCCAACGCTATCAAAGCTACTTGCGCGAGCGCTGGCGAATGAAATGAAAGCTTTGCTGTTTAATCAGTGCGGAGGTGAAGCACTCTGGAAGCTGCCCTAGGCTTGACAGCGTAGCACGAAATAGTTGACGCCTAGGTTTTTAAAGCACGTAATGCTTTTGTAATTGTAACGGGACCCCATAATCCCCAAAATATGTTCGTCCGTGGGTCAGTCCGTTCGAATGTGCATTTCCCCGAAGAATTCACCGGGGAAATTGACGTGGCCTGACCCCACATTACCTAAACACCAATTCATTGCCCCCCTCCTAAATTTAGAGAAAAATTAACGACAAAAACGTTTTTATTCACACTCCCAAACGACTTTTAATGCCTTTCTAAACGAATGAAATACTACATGCCATGCATTTCTCAAAATACCGCATACCATGCATTGCAGGACTTTACAAGTAAAAGTCACTACTTAATCTTTTTTAATAAACTAAAAAACTAATTGATCTTTTTTTTTTCTTTTTTTGTGGGTCGATTTTTATCAGTTACTGCACAGCGATGGCAGCAGCAATTTCGCTGAAGACGGCCTTGAGCGAAATTGCTATCTTTGAGTGTTCAACGGTTACCGGTAGGGGGTGACAAGGTGTTCTCTCGTGTAAGGTGTCTTGCTGTCTTCGTAAAAGATTTTCGGAGGTCTTAAGACACACCGTTGTAAGCAGTCGAGAGTGCGTAAGCCGCGGCTTTTACACTGTAATGATCATTTCTTCTTCTTCATTCGTGTGGGTACGTAATGCAGACAAACACGAAAGATTCAAGCACCCCAGAGTAAGCCACAGAAGGGGACCAAGCCACCGAAGGCCCCACTGCCGCCGCCGGGAAGAAGAAAACCGTGAACTCGAGTTACGAGTCCTGGAATTATGAAGAGGAAGACACTACACGGCCATCGACGGACACGAGACGACATCACTGTTTACCTCGACAAGAAAGCAGCAGGAGTATGGTGCCTGCTAGGCGTCTCCGACGGGTGTGTTTATCGCAACTTAAAAAGTGGTCCCTGGATGTCCGCCTGATGACGTCATAAAGGTGTCCTGGGGGGCTATGTTGCGCTTTTTGCACTCCCAGGAGACTAGGGAGAGGGAAGTGACGTCAACAACGCAGCAAATGCAGATTGGATGTTGATTTTGTTTTCTTCTGTCAACATCCAATCTGCGTTTGCTCTAGTCGTTGACGTCACTTCCCTCTTCCAAGTCTCCTGGGAGTGCAAAAAGCGCAACATAGCACCCCTGCTGTCACAGGCCGCGATGCTGGCGGTGTAACGGCGGCAGCGGTGGTGGACGCGAGCTTCGGCAGCCGGAAGTTGGGACGCCGTGACGACAGCGACACTCGCGTCCTTAAAAGGTGAAGACAGCGCAAACGACGAGGGACAAGAAGCAACAGGACACATACTACACAGCGCTGTGTATGTGACCTGCTTCTTCTGCTTCTCTTCCCTCGTCGTCTGCGTTGTCTTAACCTTTTAGGAATGTCACACCAACTAGCCCAAGCTTCAACCTAAACACTCGCGTTCGCTCGTGCTTTTTGCCCGAACCTCCATGCCCAACCGCCAGGGTCGCGACGTCCGATAGCGTGACACTCCGGCTTTTGTGACGTCATTTGTAGCCACTTCGGGACCAGTTCCCGATGCATGGGCGGAACGCGGAGAGCAATTGTCGTCTGCTTGTTGCGGAGGAGTTTCGGCGTCTTCAGAACGACGCCGAGCTCTGATTGGTTTTGATTGAAAGGATACTGGGTAGACCTGAATGTTAGATGCCTCGAGGTGTTCCCACTAGTCTTTCATTCAATCAGCCAACAAGAGCTCGGTGTTCTGACATCCTCACAACCCCTGTGCACGAAGCAGACGAACTCGCGCTCCCCATAGGACGCTGAACACACCGTTCGCAGACGCGTTCCAGGCACCAGAACAGGGAACCGTTATTGCACATTCGATACGGTACGATGGGCCCTCCGGTACGAACCGCGCATGCGCGCAAAACTCCTATATGCGCACTTTGTACAGGAGGTGCATGGTACCGTTTCGAATGTGCAAAGACGGTTTCCTAAAACTTTCTACTATTCTACGTGGTATACATACTTCCAATGTACGGTACATATTGCACTGATGATATTACTGAAATATAAAATTAATACGGCAAATAAAATTACTCGAAAAAATAGATATATGCAGGTTCCGCTCGCTAGAATAATACGACCTAAAAAAATACAAGATAGGTCTCATTGTATCGAGCCCCTCTGAATGTTTATATTCCCGCAGTTTTCGTTGAGTACATTTTAAGAAGAAGGGGGAGAAACCCGAGAAAGCGCGATATCGCTCGTCTTCCGGCAAGGTTCATTCAGAGCCTTTTGTACTGGGTTTCCCAGTATAAAAGGCTCTGGGTTCATTATAAGATCAACGAGCGGTCGTCCTCATGTATACCTTGGAGCAGCATGCCTAGTGGGAATCTCCCACTGGGTGTATAATACGGACAGTCTGATAATTATCTCAATCTACCAAAAAGCATCTTTGTGCTTTATTCAACAGGACCACGCAGATACTTTGTTTTAACGTACCTATAAGAAGTATTCACTGGGCGCCATATTTGTGCGTGATGTCTAGAGCGCATGCTCTGAACGAGCCCACATTAATAGGCTGCTAAGACCGGAAATCTTGAGGGTGCGGAATGCGCGTTGCGAAAGAACTCTCGAAGCTCGCCATCAGCACGCGCTCAGCAGTCGTGCACACAGCTATGGCCGCCAGTGAATACTGCTGGGCGCGTGCTGATGGCGAGCTTCCACGGTTCTTTTAGAGGGTGCATTGCACACCATCAAGATTGCCGATCTTAGCAACCTATGAAAGCGAGCTCGTTCCGAGTATGCACTTTAAACAGTACCCACAAATATGGCGTCTAGTGAGCACTCCCTATAAGGAGTATTCACTGGACGCCATATTTGTGGGTGCTGTTTAGAGCGCATGCTCAGGAGTCAGAACACACTCACATCAATAAGCTGCTAAGACCGGCACTCTTGATGGTGCGGAATGCACGTTGCAAAAGAACTGTGGAAGCTCGCCATCAGCACGCGCTCAGCAGGGGCGCCCACGGCTACTATGGCTGCCAGTGAATACTCCCCAGAGCAAGCTTCGTAAACTGAACACACACACACACACGCGCACATAAACGTGCACATAGAGACACACGCGCGCGCGCGCGCACGCATGCACGCACGTGCACATGTACATATACACACACACACGCGCGCGTGCGCACACACATACACACGATAACATTGTCGACTCTGCGACTCGCCACAGCGTCTAGTTTTTCACATAGTACGCTATAGGCCAATCTATGCAATATGCCAATCTTGATCAACAAATGACGGTGTACAAAACAAGAACGGTCATCCACTTGTGAGGTCAGTCACAAACGGCAAGTGATCCGCTTCTCTTGCTTTTCTTTTTCGTCGTTTGAACCTGCCTCTTCACATCTAGACTGTCGATTCGAGGTGCATGTGCCACTGAATGCATACACGTATATGGGGGTCTCTAAGGTACGTTTACACGTTTGCGTTCGCTTACGACCGAGTTCTCGCGATCTCTTGAGACGAGAGAACACACTGGCACACTGGCGCCATCTATGAAGTAACCCTGGAGGAGCATCTCGCTAGAGCGAATGTTTTGCAGTATTTGCGAAATCAAATGCACGTACTAGCAGTGAGAAATTGCCGTTTATAACACTGTCAAAAAAGTTCCGATCCAGCAAAGAAAGAATGAAGCGTGAAAAAACTAGGAACTATACGGAAATACCAAAAATGTTCCACGGTTGCCCGATAGATAAAGCTGGTACAGTGGCTTAAAGGGGTAGTGTGGTTATCGCGTAGCCTCCGCCATGCATCGGGAACGGCCGCTCCTTGGAAGACGGTGTAGGTGGCGCTTCGATCCGCAGCTCCGTTGGGTGCCTCAATCGGCCGGCAGATAGAGGCACCCTAACACGCTTCATATAAGTAATATAAATACCTCAAAAACAAATATTTGTTTCCATCGAGCTTCCAACGACATGATTTGTGTTTGAAGGTGAATAAAACTGTGAAACTAGCAGACGACAGTGTAGTCGACAGCTGCGAATCGGCCGGAGTTGGCCGGAGCCAAGCTGGCTAAGCGGCCAAGCCAGAGCCATAGCCGGAACGACGGATGGATGGATGGATGGATGAATACGGCTGAGCCCTTTGGATCGGGCGGTAGCTTACGCCACCTAGCCATTTTGTTTTACATTTAAGCTTAGAATATTTAAATGTGAAATCTATATTCACTCCGCAGTGCGAAGAAAATGAGGCTATGAAACCCCCTTGCCAACAGTAAATAAGAAAATACCTAGTTTTCTCTCGATTTCTGCCACCATTCACTTAATCTTTGCTTGGTAATCTCTATAGTCTTGAAATCCACTCTCCCTTCGCTGTCTCTAAAACCCAATGACTTTATTAAATCTATGTTGTCTTCGGTAGGCATAGGGTGAAGCCCTTTACAGTAGAGTATCAAGTGCTCAGCCGTCTCGTCCTCCTCTCCACAAGCAGTGCACACTGTATCCATTTCCTGGTACTTCACTCTGTATGTTCTGGTTCGCAGAACACCCGTCGTTGCCTCAAACAACAATGAGCTTCCCCTAGAATTGTCATTAATGCTTTCTTTGGCAATAACTGTTTTGTTTAATCTATAGCTTTCCAGAGCCGTCTTTGTCTGCATTCCCTCTAGCCACCAATCTCTTTCTGTGGCCTTAACTTTCTTCTTAACTGAGACTTGCTCTTCCGTATCTTCGCTATAGCCCAAAAACTTTCCTCTTAATTTCCTAGTGCGCTGTCTCCACTTTGTGTCTACACTCCTCATGTATAAATAGCTGAAAACCTTTCGTGCCCATTGCTCCCCATCCATTAGCCTCAACCTATCCTCAAATTCTTTCTTGCTCACCGCTTCCCTGCTCTCAAATGACGCCCATCTCATGTCTCCTTGTACTCCCTGGTTTGGCGTTTTGCAACGTGCCCCCAAAGCCAGTCTACCTACTCCGCGCTGTTTTATTTCTAGTCTCGCATGCACTTCGGATTTCATGCATAACACTGCGTTTCCAAAAGTCAAGCCAGGCACCATGACCCCTTTCCAAATCTCTCTCACCACCTCATACCTGTTGTAATTCCAAAGTGCTCTATTTTTCATTACAGCTGCATTTCTGTTGCCCTTACCTATTATATACTTTTCATGCTCTCTGAGATATTCTGCACCATCACATATCCACACTCCTAGATACTTGTATTTACTAGCTCTCTCAACTGTAATATTCTGTATCTTCGGCCTCTCAACTTCATCCTCGTTAAAAATCATGACTGCTGATTTTTCGCTACTGAATTCTAAACATAATTCCTCTCCTTCCCTACCACACATGCTCATTAATTCCTGCAACTCTGTCCTGTTGTTAGCCATTAGTACGATATCATCCGCGTACATCAATCCCGGTAAGGATTGCTGAAGTTTTTGGCCTAGCTTACTGTAAGAAAGGTTGAATCCAAGCCCACTCTTCTCTAGTCTATCCTCCAATCCTCTCAGATACAACATAAAAAGCAAAGGCGATAACGGGCGCCCCTGCCTAAGGCCTCGTCTTATCTCTATTTTCCCTGTCGCCTTTCCTTCCCATGTTATAATCACCTTGTTATCTTTGTAAATGTTCCTTAATAGTGCTGTTAGTCTTTCATCTATGTTTAAGCTCTCCATTATGTCCCACAGGTTCCTTTGGTTCACATTGTCATAGGCACCCTTGATATCCAGAAATGCCAGCCAGAGCTGTCTGTTTTCTTTTTGCGCTATTTCTATACA